AGATGTTAAGATTGAACCTCGACATGATAGACGAAAGGAGGGACGCAGCGGCTATAAGGCTAGCATCGTATCAGCAAGTGCTGGCGAATAGTCACAATAAGAGAGTAAAACACAGGGATTTTGCCCCGGGCGATCTGGTTCTGAAAAGAAAGGTGGGGATGGTCAAAAAAATGATGCCACCCTGGGAAGGCCCGTACAGAATTGCAGAAGTCATTGGCAAAGGGGCATATACGTTGGAAACCATGGCGGGAAAGTTGGTCAACAAGCCCTGGAACGCCACGTCTCTGAAGAGGTACTATCAATAGAAGCTAAGTTCTGGTTTTAATTGGATGTTATTTGTTGTTAATCAAATACATATGAATGAGCAAGTTACCGGAGTTTACAAAAAAAGAAGAGAAGAATTTTCTTTTCCAATGGTCTACTATAAAAATTGAAAGCCAAGTGGCAAGTGGCATTCTAGCCGAGCGCCAGGCACTTAAGCAAGATAAGTGGCAGCTGGCACTATAAGCCGAACGCCAGACACTTGCTAAAAATTGAAAGCCAAGTGGCAAGTGGCATTCTAGCCGAGCGCCAGGCACTTAAGCAAGATAAGTGGCAGCTGGCACTATAAGCCGAACGCCAGACACTTGCTAAAAATTGAAAGCCAAGTGGCAAGTGGCATTCTAGCCGAGCGCCAGGCACTTAAGCAAGATAAGTGGCAGCTGGCACTATAAGCCGAACGCCAGACACTTGCTAAAAATTGAAAGCCAAGTGGCAAGTGGCATTCTAGCCGAGCGCCAGGCACTTAAGCAAGATAAGTGGCAGCTGGCACTATAAGCCGAACGCCAGACACTTGCTAAAAATTGAAAGCCAAGTGGCAAGTGGCATTCTAGCCGAGCGCCAGGCACTTAAGCAAGATAAGTGGCAGCTGGCACTATAAGCCGAACGCCAGACACTTGCTAAAAATTGAAAGCCAAGTGGCAAGTGGCATTCTAGCCGAGCGCCAGGCACTTAAGCAAGATAAGTGGCAGCTGGCACTATAAGCCGAACGCCAGACACTTGCTAAAAATTGAAAGCCAAGTGGCAAGTGGCATTCTAGCCGAGCGCCAGGCACTTAAGCAAGATAAGTGGCAGCTGGCACTATAAGCCGAACGCCAGACACTTGCTAAAAATTTAAAGCCAAGTGGCAAGTGGCATTCTAGCCGAGCGCCAGGCACTTGCCGTACAAACACACAGCAAAACTAATATAAAAAGAAAAAGAGAGAAAAGATATATATGTACTGAAGATAAGTTGAACAGAGCACACCACATAGAGAAAAAGAGTTCGGCCATTTCATTAATATTGAACATTTAGTTTACAAAAGAGAGGTGTCCATCATTACAAGAAGATATGAACTGGAAGAATTCGAAGGAGCCCTAGCTAGACGCCTCAGTACCAACAGCATCCTGGTCCTGCCGACTCGCCTCCTCGGCCCCATCAGCCGCCTCACCTTCATGAGGTGGGGAATCCAGGTGAATAACTGAGTCGTTCGGCTGGGGTTCAGCGTCAGCAGTGGCTACAGAGGGAGCCACGGTCGACGATTGGGGAGCGGTCAGTGGCAGAGTGGCAGGAGGAGCTGTGATGATCCTTGAGGATGCGATGTCCTGGCACTCATCAAATATACGCTCCGCTTCGGTGGGTTCTGGGTCGACATAAACCCCCAGAGGCTCGATCCCCAGATCCTTGTCTACCTCATCCGGAGTGGAGCTGGTCTGTCCCTCATCCGGAACCCGGTCGGCGAAGCCTTCCCGGAATCCTTGAGCATACCGAAGAGCACCGACCCTGGAGAACCGAGCATGAAGGGCTAGCATCCCACCACCCACTCTGCTGATAACGTCGATCAGAGCGGTACGCTCGTCCAGAGCTCTTTTTTCAAAAGCCATCCGAGCAGACTGTTCATCAGCTAGAAGACGTTGGAGTTCTGCCTTCTCTTCTCTGAGTGATTCCTGCTCAGTCTGCCAGACGCTCTTCTCGAGCTGGAGGGCGTCCTTCTCATCCTGAAGGGAATCATTCTCCTTTTTCAGGACATCTCTCTCTTGCTCGGCTTTGTCAAGCCGAACCAGCGCCTCGGTATTCTTCATGGCAAGGAGGTCGTTCTCTTTATTAGCCACCTCCAGGCTGTCAGAATACTTTCGGGCCCTGGCGTTCCCCATTTCCACCTGCTTCTGCATGGCCATCATCCCAAACAATGTCTGCATAGGTACACAATAAGAACGGTTAAACCGATAGTCAGAACGGGAGAAGGCAAGACCAAGTAATATAAGAGAATTCATGAGTTAGAAAATAAAAGTCACCTCCATAGCAGATTGGGGAAAGCGACTGAACACGTCCTTCTGGGAAAGGCCCTTTGCCGCCTCAATGTCCTTCGGAGTCCACATGCTCCTGTAGTAGGCCATAGCGGTCTGGCCATCCTTCAGCATGGTCTCGTTCGGTTTCACGAACGTCCCATCCGTTCGAGTGTACCGAGGGGCCCATGGCGGCAAGCTGGGGATAGAAGGGGGGCCTGAAGCAGAAGCAGAGCCACCAGCTGCAGGAGGCCCAGAGTGAGAAGGAGCTCTGATCGCTCGGTGCAAGAGAGTACCCGGCCCAGAGACTCGGGTCCTTCTAATAAGAGGCTCCTCCTCAGGGTCGATTTCACTGTCAGGATGAGGCCTTTTGCCTCGCTCTTTGTCCCGACCGCCCCCCGCAGCAGCAGGAGCTATGGTAGCTGGGGAGGGCGCGTTCTGGTTGGCCGCAGGGGCGCTGGCAGCAGGGTTAGTAGCCACTGCGCTCGGGGCAGTGTCAGATATGGTGGCTGAAGAAGAAGCCGACGCTGGAGAGGAGGTCGCCCCAGCAGCAGGAATGACTGGGGGAGTATTTTTCCTCCTGCCAAAAGAGGGAATCTGCAGTCTGCTCATATTGTAGCCGAGTGATGAGAGCGCGAAGAGGTTGTCTGAAGTGAGGAGATCTGAGCAGGAAGGAATATCGTTCAGAACGTATCTCTTCAAGTAGTTGGTCCTATCCCTGCAAACACTGTAGCTCAAGTCATCACAAGGTATTCCCAAGGAGCGGCATAAGTAAGTGCAAAAACGAGGAACGCATGTTTCACAGGGGCAGTCGTGTTTATGGGATTTGAATTTTTTATAGGAGGAGACAGAGCAGACACCAAAGGCGCTCGGGATAGGGTAATCCTCTGCAGCCGGCGAAGACCAAGCCCCACTAATACCCACTATGCTATCCCTCCAACCCTTTTCAGATTTTATTGTGTCAGTGCATATGGACATCTTCTCGAACGGGTAGAGGTGGTAGAAGGGCTCGTTAGTACGGATCTTACTGACCTTATAGCACAGAAGGAGGTCTATGAGGTCAAGGTCCAGATTTCTGTCACGCATCAATAAGAGCATAACAGATATGATCCTAAAGAAGTTGGGGTTGACCTGCAGAGGGGATATCCCCAATCTGTTGAAGACGTAACTAAAGAAAGGGTGCAGAGGGAACCTAACAACATTCAGTTGAAGGTTTGTGAATAAGACTTCGCCGGGCAGGAGGCCGGCGCCGGTCGTAATATTAACGTCTTGGGGGCAAACCCTAACTACGATGTTGTCAGGAAGCCTAAGTCTCATACGAAGGACACCCAGATCTACAACCATGGTGGAAGTGCAAGAAGAATCTAAAAGAGGGAAAATGGAAGCCTGCCGAAAGTAAAAAGAACGAAACTAACCTCGGAGGACTGCAAGATCGCTGGGAGAATGACTCTCGAAGGATTTCACCGGAAAAGGCTTAGCACAGTTCTAGAAAGAGGGAGATTTGGCTGATGATGGAGACGGTAAAGGGAAGTGAAGTGGAATTCGAGAGCATTATATAGGCAAGGGGGCCCGAGGGCCGAAGCGTCGGGAAGGCAAGAAATCCCTCGAACCCCGGAACATTGATTCTGGATCTGACCGTTCGCTCCCCCACGTGGTTATCTCGAGCCGTCAGCGTCATGATGAGACGCCATCAATAATTACCCCTTATTAAATAAGGGGCAATTATGGGGGCAGTTGAGGAGGCCCTGGATGACATGGGCCAGGTCCGACTCGCAAAACACAACCTTCAGTCCGAACAGCTGGGTCAGCCCATAAAAAGACACTGCCATATGGGCCGAGCGGGAGTAAGCCCATCAAGAGTGACCAGGGCTTACTGAGGAATAGGCCCAGGTCCAGCAATTAGTAAATATCTTGTAAATATCTTGTAAATATCTATAAATAGGAGTTGGAATGAAGAGGAGAGGGATCTTGATTCGGGTTGAGGTGTAAGAATTCTAGAGAGAGAAAGAATAGAAGGAGTTTCTTGCATCTTCACCACTGTTGTTGTAATTGTGATTGTTGTTGCTACTTCTTTCTTCATTTGTCTCCATTGTTTGTTCAAATCGTGTGCTGTGTTTCTTCTTGATTTTTGGCTAATTACTATCTTTTAGTTGATAATGCTTTAAGAATAGGTATAATGATGTTTCACTATTGTATCTGATGATGGTTGGGTGAGATTGTGGAACTTACTGGTGTCGTTTTTCCGTAGGATACGAAATTTTTCGTAGCTAAAACCCTAATTTGTTGTAGTGTATATATAGCCACAATAATCATTATAATCCAGTGATGAAACTATAATACTACTATTTTCTTTATATGAAACAGTAATTCAAAATAATCCAGCGTTTATTCATGTTCACCTCAGCAATTTTGAAGAAATCACTTAAAATTTGAAAAGATTGACTTCATGTGACTGTAAAAAAGGTTCCCTAACTTCATGTATATGTAATTTTCCCAATATTTTTCTGATTACTTTTTTTTTTTTGATCCTATACATATGGTTTATTTCTTCCTTTTGTCACCCATAAATCCATAAAAATATATAGTGAACTTTAATTTTCCCACATTCATGCAATAAATGTGGTGGCTATATATATCAGTCGCATAAAGTTAGATTAAGAAAAAGACACAAAGTAAACTTTAAGGTTCAACTTAAAACATATATATATGATTCACTTAGTTGTTGTAGCTAGGCTGAAGAAAGATGGCCTTGTTCGATCAAAGATGCAACACAATCATCAAACATCTCCTCAATACTCTTGAACTTGAATCCTAAACTCTTTAGCTTAGAGGTGTCAAAATCATAATGTGGCCTATCAAGTGGCTCGAACCTGAAATAGTCCACATTTCAGAATCAGTAAATAACTAAAATTGTGATAGTCCATGTACACACACACAAACACATGAATCTTTTCATAAAAAATTATATGTCTGATGTGAATAGCTGAGAAAAGTGTAAGAATGAGAATGGGAGGCACTCAACCATCAAAATTTAGATCATTGCTTAGATACTAACCTCTTGGGGATAGGAAAATTTGGATAGCGCGCCGATAGCATTTCTACTAGCTCATTATTATCGACAACTTTTGAACTGCAGAGGTACCTTCCATAAGCATTTTCATGCTCGTAAACAAGGATGTGGGAGAGCGCGACGTCGTCAATATGAACATATCCCATCCTTCCATTCCAGTGGAATTTCTCAGTTTTCCCTATTGATTCAAAGAAACAGCAGAAATATACAACCAATTACTTAAAAAAAGAGTTGCAATGTGTGAACTAGTAGTTGGATAATAAGGAGAGTGAAAATATGTACCTTTAAGCAAGCCAAGGACATCAGATGCAGTGGTACATAAATCAGGTGACAAACTAGGTCCAATAACAAATGAGGGAAGAATGGTCACTAGGTCAATGTTGTTGTGCTTGCAGAACTCCCATGCTGCTCTTTCAGCTAAGGTCTTCGATAAAGCATACCATATCTTAAACATAAGAAGAAAAAAAACACAGAGTTTGAGTGCGCGGTAGAGGATAAATAGCTCCAAATCTGCATACCTATATCAAAATTGGGATTCTGGACCATTTCAATCCGAAAGTGAGGTTTGAAGTCTCAGTGTTTACTTTGGGAGGTAGAGGAGATACCACCCATGCTAAAGGCTTGGTGGTATCATAGCATAGTGCAGTACCTTGAGTCTCTCACAAATTTCCACAGAGCTCCAAGATGACTCGTCCAGAGGCACATTCGGGTTGAGATCATCTCTTGCCCTTACCGTTGAAGAAGATGAGGTGAGTACAATGCGTTTTAGTGATGGATTCTTCTTACATGAACGCATCACATTCAATGTACCCTCAATTGCAGGGGTCAAGATTTCAGCCTATTGCAATATGGGGAAGAAATCTATTAGTTGGTGTTCATCTTCAATTTTTAGTGTACTCATTATGCTATGCTGAAAATACAAGTCCTGTTTCAAAAGATAAATGTACCAAACACTTTCATTTTTCATGCTTAACACTACACTAAAACATCACCAAAAGTTTTTTTTTCAAAAATTAACATCACCAAAAGTTGTTTATGAATTTGTGTTTAAAAAGCTAGACATTGTATTGCAATTGAAAAAAGACATATGTTAGTATTGTATACAAATTCAAGCTCAGAATCAGGTGTCCTGTTTCAAAAGATAAATGTACCAAAAACATGGTGCATAACCATTTACACATTAACACCATAATGAAAAATCACCAAAAGATATAATATAGTTTTTCACTGCATTTTCCAGTAGAGCTTCGTTTCCAAAACTAATGAGGATTGAAACATTGTAGATATTCTTTTTAACTACACATATACAACTATGTATGTTTATGCAACTTTTTATGGTCTACTGTAGAAAAAAGTTCATTGCAGTAGTTTAGGAACACTAATGGATTAAGACTTGCCTTTGGATCAGACGAAAGCCATCTCAGCACAGGCGAAGCAGTGTGGAAGACGCCTTCACAACCCATGATTGCATCATCAAAGCTTCCCTCTTCCATTAGATCGGCCTTCACCAATTGCAGCCTCTCTTTTGCTCCTTCCAGACTCCATAGGTGCGATAATTTCTTATTATTTCCTGCCCATTTTTAACAACAGTTTAGTTTACATGCAAATAAAATGCATAGAACCAGACATACTAGAGTAGACATGTAATATGCTGCCTGCAGATTCATGCATTTTGACGTGTGTGTGTGTATATATATAGAAGGGGGGGAGAGAGAGACCTGGGTCCCTAACTGTGCCTATGACATGATAACCGGACAAGAGGAGTCGCCTGATCAACCAGGAAGCAAGAAAACCAGCTGCACCAGTGACGCAAACTTTGCCTTTGGATTCAAACTTTTGATGCATGTTTTTTTGGCTCAAGTTTCAGCCTAGTTTGAAGAAAAGCTACATCCAACATATATATACACAACTGTAATATGTATATATGAACATGGTCTTTGGCCATCTGCTTGGTAGTAGTTGGAGGAAGGATGTGGAGAAGGTAAGTCATGTATTGCTTGTGTTCTGTTTTTATGTCTTTTTAAAACAAGTACAAAGAGAGATGGGTGAGCTATTATTCTAAAAAAGACTTACTTAAGGTTAGAAGTAGGCAATTCAGCAAAGTGTGCTGGATTAATAAGTTGGCACGACGGCCATACCAGCAGTAAATTTGGCTATTGTTTTACCATTTTATTCGTGCGTGTGTGTATATATATATACATATATATTTACATAATCCGAGACTGTTCAGCCCAGCACGTCAATTTGTGAATCGTGAGCTCTATTGCCTTCTACTCCTGATGGACGAATTTATCACTATTCAAGTCTTGACAGATTTGATGAAGAATATTCACAATTTAGACTTGAAGCTTGAGAAGAAATTTGCAGTCTTCTCAGATTTACTTGCAGTCCTAGTGCCAAACCCAACATAATTCCGTGATACCACCAGTTGAAACAGAGTTGAAACCAAATTCTAGTGAATCCAACATTTTAAATTCAATACAATTGTTTTCTGAGTTCTACAACACTGATCAAACACGCACATAACTAAGCTGCTGCAACTTTGCACCAGGATTATACTATTCTAAAACCAACAAATTTAGGAATTTTGCATATGTAAACTAAACTTGGAATTGGAATCAAAACCCCAAAATTAAACCACTTTTCCTTCCATTTCAAATTTAAAGTGCACATTCTATACTACCAAATGTAACCTACAACAAATAATTGCAATTTCAAGTTACAATTACATTTGGCATGACAAGTAGTGTATTTAAATATGGTAGGGTAAAAAATAAAATATAAAATATAAAAATAAAAATAAAAAGAAGGAAAGGAAAATAAGAAGAAAAACGCCTTTTGCATCATATAAGTTACAAAATACAGGAAAATTAGTCAAAATTTGACCACGGGAGAGCACTCATGAGCTCTCTACTCGCTGTCTTTTTGCGGAATCATGACCATGTACTTCAGATAAATCTATAATCCTGTCATCTTCACTCCTATTAACAGGCTCTTCATTGTCTTGACATTTAAAAGTCCAGCCAGCAAAATCAGATTCGGAGAACAGGGAGGTCGGAGTTGCCTTGTAGAATGCAAGTGGTACCTGTTTTACCCTCCGTCCAATCTACAATCAAAGACAAAATTGAAACAAATTTTATACATCAAATGCTGAAAACTCTGTTTCTACCATTATAAAAACTACAAAAATATTTCATTATGCCTCTGGCATGTCATATAGAACAAGAAGCCAACACTCAAATTCAGAGAACATCAAACTATGCAGCCTTTTTCAATTTTTTATCACAAGCGATTCAGATGTGAATATGCTACAAGGAAAAATAATACAAAATATGTGAAAATTTGTGTAATTCATCTTACAGATTTACATAATGAATCAAATAATTCAGTAAATCAGTTGCATAATCTGGTTTTATTATGGCATTATTCAGTTCCTGAGATGATGCAGGGGAAAATGGGTGTTCTGTATTAAATTTGTTTGTTACCATATGGTTCACAGGCTATGTGCCCATAATTGGCAAGCCGTCCTTAATTTTGTTCTTTATCATTTATGGATACTGGAAATGGTCTTTCTCAGTTGTAATATAAGGGTATGCCCTCATTATTTGTGCTATAATTTTGTTTATGTGGTTTAATACATTCTGACTTAATACTACTGCTACTACTAATAATAATAATAATATAAAATATTGGCCAACAATTATGCCTAGATGAATAAAAAAATATAGCTTAAATATAACTTATAATAGTCATACCCACAGCAATTCAACAGAAATGGTATTCAAATTACCAAGAATATAATCAAACATAAATTTATCAATGCAATAAAAAACAGCAAGATTTGTATTTTTCATTTACATCCGTAAAGCTAATGAAGTATGACCAGGTTTTCTGTAAACAGATGTAATATTACCTCCTCTCTAAATATTGTGGCATATGAACCAGAACTGAAATCCTTGACTGTGACTTCAGTGGTTTTGCTTCTGACTGTCAAATCATTCTCCAGTGACAAAATAAACCTGGTGAGGCACGAAAACAGGCATTGTAAATATTAAAGGACATAAAAAAATGTTCTATAATAGAAATGCACACACAGGTGTCAGACAGAGATGATCAGGTGAGTGAGTACCTTGAAACCGGTGGGCAGTAGTGGTGACGGAGGGTATCAATCTCCCATAGAGAACTTCCTGTTGAAGTGTTTTATTAATACATAATAGTTAAATTTATAAAGAAGATTTCCATCATTTAGGGAAAAAAAATTATAAAGATATTTTCCACATTGAGAGTGTACGAGAGCATGCTAGCATGAAACAAACTTAATTCATTTTTTCTTTTTTCAAATTAAAGTAAATAAATTAAATTCAAAATCGAAACATACAAATAAAAAAGTTAAAACAAAGATACATTAAGTCATCAAACCAACTGTACTCAGCAAATGAAGGAGAAGAACAAGAGCAGCAAAGGCACTGTGTAGACCAGACTATCAGGAAACAAAGATAGATAATGTTCAGCACAGCTTACAAAATCTAAATTTTTCTTTCCAGTCTTTTTTATGGAATGCGTCGCATACAGATTGAATGTTAGCTCATTACCAGTAATTTGATTTCAATAATTAATCCTTCACTATCTAGCTGGTCTTCTTCATCCACAAGTGGCCTGTATGGTTGATTTTTCACCTTCAGAGTGCGAATATTTTTCTTGAAGCTATTATATCATTAACACCAACTTGGGACCCTTATGAATGTTAGCCTCAATAGTCCTATTTCATGTTTATTTTACATCAGGAAACTTGTGTTCGGTTTCTAGTATGTTCTCTTATGTTTTGGGAGTTAAAAAGGTATTTTGACAATTTCAGTATTTGCTGAAAATGGGCTACAGGAAGGTTCCATGGATCATATTTTAGCTTAAGTGAGAGTATCAGGGTTTTATTTGTAAACTTTAGCATGTTTGTATTGGTTTCAATCATCAAAGTCTTTTAAGTCTATAAATATGCACTCAAACCTGTATTAGAATCAGGATAATCAAAAAGTTCAAATATAATGATATAATGCTTGCAGTCAAATAAAGATCAAATACATTTAGAAACAGATGGAATTTGTAATGCCCCCTTCAGATTATCTACTGAACTACTAATCTTAGTTGTGATGTCGAACTTCTTCCCCTCGTCTTAAATTTCTGCACTCCTCTTCTTACCAATAATAAAACTTTATTAATCACTCCGTTTCACAAACTTAATAATCCTAATTTAGTACCAAATTCACCAAAACATAAAAGAAACAGAATTAGTGTACTTGGTTATTGTTCATAGCCCCAAAACTTTGCCTTGCCTCACAATAACCCAAAACCATACCCCATCTTACTCCCTTAACAAACCCTCATGCATTTGGAGTGCTGGAGTTAGAGGAAAGAAAAGGAAAAGGAGGGCGATCTGATCTTGTGTTTATTTTAAAAACAAGGGGAAAAGGAGAGGATGAGGAGAGATGAGGAAGAACTTAAGGGAGGATTTGAAAGGAAAGAAAAGTATAGTTAGTGATTAGTTACTTAAACTGTATTCCTAAAAAAGTGTGAATTCCTTTTTTCCCCTTATCACTCTCAAAATAAAATACTAATTCGTTTCTTTTTTCTCCACTATCTTTTCCAAACACAACGAAGGATTACCATTGTATTTTTCTTCATTTTTCAAACACAATGGGTTAACATCATCCTCTTTTTTCTACCATAACTAATACAATCCTCTCTTTCTCTCATACTTCTCCAAATGCAAGAGAAAACTCCATCCTTTGAACAACCCTTTAGCTGCCAAATATAAAAGACTATTATTAACCAACAATTTGAAGTGCTTTTCTTGTGTATTCTTGATAAACCAGCATTTATATATAAATGTAGTAGGATCTGTTTGGAAAGTAATAAGCCTCTTTGACATATCTTTATTTGCACCTTCTTTACCATGCATTTCTTCGGGCTTTCAGGCCACAACAAATTCCAGATTATCCAGATGATACGCTGCATGGAATGCCCTCAGCAGCTTTGCTCTTATATCCACAGTCAGGAATGGTTGTTCAGATTAAAGCAAGTTTGTTAAAATGCTTGCCACTAGAAGGTTCAAAATTTTGGAGTTGCAAAAACAGGTTTAGGAAAATGCTAGTCTTTAGAAGATTCAAAGGTTTGGAACAATGACGTTCATCCCCTGGGCTTCAAACGACAGTGATGGCACGGTTGGATGCAAAGGTTCTGGGGCCTGGTGCTACCCAAGCATGAGTACTTTCATTGAGGGTTTTGGGGCATCTTTTCTTGCCGTTCCCAGACACTTTCTTCCTGGCCGGGAGTGTAGTAATGGATAGAGGGGATGAGGGTTTGTTGGAGACCTTGCAAAAGATGCAGATGAGAAAGAGGAAGACTCAACAGGAGTGTCGGTGGCTGTTGCTGGTGACTCTGGCAAATAAGACCCTGGCCTCAGGTAGGGACGGTACCGGGGGATCAATGCAATGGGTCTAAACTGGGACATCTAGGTCACGTCCACATATGCACGCATAATGTATACTAAGACTTTCACTGTCACAATTTAAATGTATACTAGACTTTCTTTGTCACAATTTTCCACTCAAATTTCCATTTCTTTTATCCTAAGCGAAGGTCATTCTTCAAAAAAAAAATCCAAAAAAATCAATATGATCATTTCATGAAAAAAATCCTACTTCCCCACTATGGTACAAACACAAAGATTGCATGAAAATTTAACGCCTTTTCAAATGAATTTTGAGACCGAAGAAAGTTTTTCGTTTCTGATTAAATTTGATGGCTGTTCAGTGCTAAAGTATATTAATGATTTCCTTTGTCAAACTGATGGATGAAGAGAGCACAAAATTGAGGTTTTAGTGCAAGTACGAGGTGGATGGTAAGCCATGCTAATTTTCTTTTTTATGTTTCCAAAAATAATGTATGATGTAAATGGGGAAAAATGAAATAAAAAAAGAGAGAAATAGGAGAAAGAAAATGAGTGGGAGGGTGCACAAGCTACTTTTAAGCATCTCAATATCCACACACACACACACACATAGAGAGAGAGCACTAGAGAGGGATTAAAAAGGGGAAGAAAAGAAGAAAGAAAGATAAAATAAAGAGGGACAAAGAGTTCTATCAAATATTGAACTATATTCATTTATCTTTAAAGTGTATATTTTTCTCCCAAGGAGTACCTATTTATAAGCCCGACAGAACCCAAATAACAGATAATTACCTTAAAATTTATCCTACCCAACAAAATAACAATATCAACCTTGCCTTTAGCCCAACAGGGTTGGCAACATGAATTCTCTTTTTCCATTTCTTTTAATTACAAGTCATGTCTCTATGAGAAAAGGTCACAAATAGAGTTGAACCAAGAAACAGTGCAAAGGCATAATGATAGTAGGGTCGGGATATCCCTGCCCTCCGAACCGGATGTGAAGGTCCTGTTGTATAAAGGAACAAACTACTGGATTGATGTGGACAAGTGGGAGACAGCTTAAGCTTGCACGTGCTATAAATTCTTTACTTAAATGTCCTTTGTCGAGTAGGCTCTGTTCGTCCAGAACTTCTAGATATTGTTGCGTGTCTCCATTCCTGAATGGCTGGAGGAGAAGAACTCTACCCTAGTGTCCCTAGTGCATCATATCTATGCCACAAACTCAAAAGTCAAACCAATATGAGTTAGCAGGGCAGCTGATTACTTCAATGGGCTGATGAAGACGGAATAACCTTAGCGTCGTTCAGTTCAATTGTTCCATTCAATGACTATTCCTTGTCAAGCCTTAAAAAAAAAAGATTCCTGAACTTCTTCAAGAAAGCGATCAAGAAAATACCCCCCCTCCCTATAAATAGGTAATTGTGGAATCCGCAAGCCATTTGACTGTGACAGGATATAGTAGAGTCGGGATATCCCCGCCCTCCGAACTGGATGTGAAGGTCTACCCTCATCCGGTTCTCTGCAGGGGAATCTCCACTAACCGGTTCCCCTCATATCCGAATGAATAACAAATAATGACCTCCGAATCTAGGAAGCCTAACCCCGTTCTTCCACTTATTGAAATCCCTAAAGCTGCAACTTCTCCATGACCCTTGTGCACCTAGAAAATTCAGAGGCAGCATCATTCCAAGTTTTCTAAGACTAGAATCATTGAGTTTCTCAAAGCTCAAATCCATCTTATAATAGTTTAATCAACTGAGAATCGTGGCAGTGTAGGACAGTCCTATTGAGTTTCTCAAAGCTCAAATCAATCTTTTATTAAATGGAAACATGACCAAATTAACTATGCCAGAACGAAAAGGGAGATGTAGACGATCTGACAGAACCACATGCTTCATTTGCTTTGCTATTCTTCTTGTCATGGCATGAAAAAAACTTCCGGTTCCAAAAAAAAAGCTAAATTTCAGTTTTTATTAAAAAGCTCAACAAAAGCTGACAAGAAGAATTTTTGGAGCGGAAACTTACTCATGGCATTACTCTTTACAGGATCACTTTCCTCATTGTTAAAATGATCAACACCTGGCATTTTAATAGCCATTTCTACGTTGGTACAGGAGTCCTCTGCACCATCACCATGCTCCTCTCCTGCTCCTGAATCATCTGCGGCAGCTCCAACACCATCCTGCATAAATATATAAAATTTATGCTCTAGAAAATGTATGAACATGCCGGTATCGGATCAAAATAGTGTTCTGCACTGGATTAACCATAATAAAAATATGTACGATGGAGCTATGATATTTAGTGTCATGAACCATAATCAAAATATATATGGATACCAATCTCTTCTTTCTTTTTTGGGGGCCAGGGGGTGATCATTTCCTGTACCATAAACATTGCACTCTATATACACTTCTCAATTCATTGTCTTGATGCTATTCTTTGACCAATCTCCTCCGCATTAAATTGTCATTTAAGAGAACATTTTCCAATTTTTGGGTGTTATTTCACCATCAATTAAATGTTTGGAGAATAAAATTCAATATATTCCATATTATCCCTGCTCATATGGAAACCCATTACTAAGTAATATATCACCACGGTTTTGACATAAAAAACGCCTAGCACCGCATGCCACGACAAAATCAAGATACAATGATACCTAATACCATTAGTTGTTCATAACAAGGAAAAAAGGGCCTCAGTAGGAAACTATTTTTATTACAAATCAATATGCCAAACTTTAAATAATTCTCATGACAGTTTCCAGTCCATTATATATGTAGATCACATCAACACATCAAGCTGATGCTCTGTTCTTCCCTAGAACCCATCATGTTTCTTTCCTCATGCCAAAATTCATGCTTTGTAACAGAATCCAAAACATGTGATTTTCCTTGGACAATAGACAGTGAAATCATTTTTCTTTTTAACCTTTCCATCAATCACCCAAGTACAAAAATAGCATCAACTATCAACTTGTATATAATGCTAATATGTTAGTAGGAAAATATGTGCGGTAATTTTATGTTTGTCCTAAAACATTTGGAAAACCAAAAAAAAAAAAAGGGTAAAGGAAAGGAATGAAATGATGTGTATGGAAGCACAACCAAGGAAAACCACATGCCTAAATATCAAAAAGACTCCCATCTTCATTTAGTGCAAACTGCAAAGTATATCATGCCAAGACTTTATGTATAATAGTTACATAAAACAAGCACTCAAAATATAATTGCTACCTGATGCACCAGAAAATTGATTGAAGGATGTCTCCGCAAAATGTTGTGAATTAATGCAATAATGATCAGTGCTCCTGAAGGAGGGACTGAAAGTGCCAGTCTGCTCAATTTCTTAGCAAAAGCAGCAGCCACATATGCTGGAAGAAGTGGCGATTTCAGGCAAGAATCAAGAAGCTGCAGATGACAATTTGCAAAGTCTTAGAAATTAACCAGTAAACCCTAAAAACTTATACGCTAAATATTCCCTAAAAATGGAACACCTATTCCTGATTTCAGTTTTATTTTTTCCCTTTTTTATTCTTTTTAGTCCATGAATGTGGCTTTACACCCTGTGCCCTGGCCACACCAGCAATTTCATGGCAATGGTGCATCACACCAAGTAACTGAGTAACAAGGACTGAAAAAAGTTATAAAGAAGGAAAGATAGAACAATATACTTGCACCTTATACTCCACTTTAAACTTCCTTAAAAGTTCCACAAATTCATTTCACTTCCCCAGTGACAGAAGTTAACCCAAATCTAAATTATAAAAACTTGATCGTACATGCCACGAACATTCTCATAACATAAATCATCACCATCATCATCATCCTTGCCTTAATCCCGTTCATGTTGGCCATTCTCATAACATAAATGATGGTACCATATCCCCTAAAGTTAAAATAATACTGATAAGCATAAAAAGTCATTTGCTAGGCCCATCCAAATATAGTCAATATTTTAAGGCCAGAAAATATGATTTCCATGAAAAAAAAATTGTTGCTTAAGCAGAAAGTTTAAATATGATGGATAAATGTTTGTTGGATGTCACCAGTCTGAAAAATAGAGACGTTTACTTCAAATCAAACTCTTAACAATTACATGTTCATATTCAGATTCGTGGAACAAGAGCCACATTTGACCTAAAATCTTAACTTCACAAAATAACTAGTGATGAACTGTTCTCATTTTACCTCAAAAAATTTTGCACGGTACTTTGCCATAAAGATAGAGGGCACCAACAGCGCATATAGTTTTTCATAGAAGTTAGGATACTCCAAATTATGTTGTGTCATAAGAATGTACAGGCCGCTAAGAGCCATGACACTGATAACACCGCCAATATCATAGGATCTTGTCAGAAAATCACTGCACAAAGATAAGTTGTTAAGTTCAAAAAGGAATGAAGTCTACAAAAAAAATAATAATAATAAAATAAAATAAAATCACAGTTTTGGACTCACCATAACATGATTGGTTTAGACATATAAGGAATAACTGCCTGGTGGAGACTAACAAGAACCTGAGTATCAGAAGACAGGCATGTCAAGGAAGCACATAGCATACACAACCAAAATAATAATTCTATATATATATATAAGAAAAAAGAAAGCAAAGACAAGGATTTGAATAAAAATTAAAAACAATTTGGTACTAACGAAAATGGTAACATGACTTGCATATCTTAACGTTTGGATCAAAAATTAACAGGTATACAACAAAGAATAGTACAATTAAAAAGATAAAAGAACCACACACCCCATCAAGAAATGATGGAGTGAGAAGATATGGTAACGGTACAATTAGCTGACAGTACCCTAGAGTTTTGCACAAAGATTTGCACTCCTTACTTCACAAGATGAACCCTAAATCAACCACTATCCCAAATATTAATAGAAAAGCATGGTAACAAAACAATGAAAAGATATTCAAAGAAACAAAATAAAACTGGGTAACTCAAAAGAACAGAGAAAAGCTACGTATCAGAGCATTATATGAAGAGGCAGTTAGACCTATGCTGTGAAATGTGAACTATCGAGATGGGGCTTAAGTCACAGCCTATATTTTGGACGGAGTATCTACAGAAGTCAACTTTAAAGTCAATTGATGTCTGTAAATCAGATCATATCCAATCATGAGTTTGTTTAAGAAAAACTGGAACGTGATAAAATTTAAAATATATAGAAGCAAATATCAGAAGTCACGCACGGTAGAACATTGGTGAACTCAATCAAAGCAATAATCGCACAGTAATCCAACCAATACTGACATACAATATAATTGAGTAAAGCTGTGAGATTACCTCCTTGTATACATCAAGAGGAAGCGATAACCTAAGAAATGATATCCATGCATTAGTAAACTTCAATTTCATCCGTTTGGCAACATTAGATGCAGAAAATACCTGAAGAAGATAAAATCCTAAAACATAAATACTGCAAATTAAGGTAAGAACAGAATATACATACGAGGACAAATTAGATGCACAAGTAAAAAATAAAAAAAAATAAAAGGATAAATAAAGAGAGAGAGACTAGAAATAAATTAATAATAACAACTTACTTTATTACGAGATTTTTCTGTCTTCTTCTGGTTATCTTCTGCTTTCAGAAACCTAGAATGCTCTTTCTTATCACCTTCTTTAGTAAAAGTTCCTAATCCATACAGAAACAAGCAAACATAACATACTGCATACCAGTTAACCATAAAAATAGCATATCAACTAAGCAGAAGGGGAAAATGAAAAAAAAAAAAAAACAAAACAAAATTTTGGGATTGAGCCTCAGACACCCCCCCCCCCCCCCCCAAAAAAAAAAAACACTGACACTCCACCACCACCAGAAAAAGAAAAGGAAAGGGACAAAAAAAAAAGAGTTGGGATTAAAGAAATTTAAACATGTATATAAAAAACTTAAAGGACAGCTTTGAAGCATAAGATGATAAAATCATCAAACGAAGTAAAATATAAACCTCATGACATGAGGCTTGAGCCTCAAAATCCTCATTACGTTTACAGTCCACTTGGATTGAGGGATTTAGACAGTAAAAGAAATAAAATGGAGGGGAAAATTACAACAAGTTTAGATAGAAAGTAAAGAGGGAAATTAAGAAAAATGGAATGTATTCTTAACCCCTAGAACCCTGCTCCTGCGTTCCATAAAAAATGTAGGAGGAAAAGAAGGGTAAGGATAAAGGGAGTTAGCAATTACTCGTTTCCCCTTATTTTATAATTATTATTATTATTAAAAAAAAAAAAAAAAAGGCTTTACATTTCTCCCCTATTATTCATGCAAGAAAACATCCATTCCTTTGTTGTCTTTCCTCAATCTTTCTCAATCAAGAGGTGGTGTAACCAGTATCCTTTCCCTTCTAATTATCCAAGCAAGAATAAGGGCTATCATTATCCTCCATTCTCTTTTTTCTGTAATAACTAATTGTATCATTCCTTTTCCTTTCCCTCCGTGACATCCAAGCATAGTGTGAAATTTTAAAATCATAGAAATGTTTTTTTTTTCTTTCCTAGTTGGTACTCAACCCCTCCCGCCCTCCCTCCAAGGAATTGTTTGCACCCAATAGGAGTCGAACCTTAGACTTGATGCTTCTTGAGGCACTAGAGTCAAGTGACTTATTGTAGCGGGTGGGCGCTTGCCCATTTACCCAAAAGCTCAAGTTGTTAGATAGTGTTGCATACCCACCCATTTATACACACTTCAACCCCCATCCAAATTTGATGTAGGACAAGTCCCACTTGTAACATTCTCCCCCAACCAAACCCGCGCAACGCCCTCGTTACCCTGCCTACACGGGGTCAGACCCGGACGCCCTTTGGGTCGGGAGCTTAGCGTGACACCTGATTAAGGACTGGGTTTGGCTCTGATACCAACTATAACAAGTGGGCGTTTACCCATTTACTCAAAAGCTCAAGTTGTTGGGTAGTACTGCATACCTACCCATTTATACACACTTCAACCGCCATCCAAATCCAACACGGGACAAGTCCCACTTGTAACACTTATCCACTTGAGCCAACCCCTTGGGGTTAATCATAGCAAATGTTTCATACGTACAGAAAAACATACACATAAACACACACATGTATGCATACACATGCATTATTTACATACACTGACATGCATACAAGTATACACCATTTTAACATAATATGACACAGAAAATTTTGCTTATATTGTAAGTTTAAAGTTTTCTCCATTCATGAGAAACCATACGGCAGGCCAATAGCCTCAAAATAAAATGTGGATGATCATCTTATAATTATTTACTTACCACTTCTGATAATTGATAATTTTGGAGGAACCAACTTGGTTCCATGGGGGATGATTAATAAGTCTATTGTTTAGCAATTAATATCTAAAAACTACTACATTGTAGAATATAGAGAGAGATTAAAAGACTTATGTAAAAGAAAATTCGATAATACTCTAGCATATGCCATAGTTTGGACAATGCGATACTAAACCTATTAAATTCATAGGGTGATTAGCCTGTCTCAAAAACACTTTGATGGTTTAATTTAAAATATAAAATATTTTAGTTTTTCCTTTTGCCAGAAGAGTTCATTTATTATACATAAGATACGCATTCTCTAAGAAAATGTTGTAAATCAAAAGATACAAATAGCCGATCTTGTATCTATAAAGTTTGGAGAAACTTAAGGATTCTAAAATATAAAATAAAAATAAAATAAAAAAATTAGTATCACCTGATAATTAATTATTAAACAGCTGACTGTAAAAGAAAATATCTCTGCTTAATGTCCCAGACCTAAACAAATCATCACCATCACATTTAAATAGACCTTGCCTTGTGCATGCAAAATTCAAATAGAAAGACAATGACCCTGTAGCCATATAACTACATGCTAGAGGCCAGAATCGATGCAGTTTTGATGCATGGTGAAAAAATAATAATAATAATAAACTAAAAAATGGGAATTGGGGTCATTTTTTTTTTTTGATAAGTAGAATTGGGGTCATAAATAAAAAGCAAAAAGATCATTATGATATTCGATGTTAAACATAAGCAATTATTCACCTGACTCATTCCACATTTCATAGTTAGCTTTTTCATCCAGGCCTTCAAGAGTGGGGATGTGTAATAAAATACGGTATATCTTATGAATAGAACGCTCTATGCTGCAATAAAACAGCAGAATTTCAGTCCTATCATAGCTTCATTGGAAGAAATTTTCAACATGAATAAAGTCCACATAGAATATTGAATTATAAAATCTTTTATGCAACACCTAAAAAATTATTAAATCAGTAAATCATGGCATCTACAACATTTTTTTTTTTTTTTTTTGATAAGTAAAATCATGGCATCTACTACATTACTATCAAATATCTTTCAAACATCTATATTTACTGAAACATGTCCAGGACACGCGCGCGCGCAAAAAAAACAAAAAAAAAAAACGACAATGCCATCAATGGGAGCAAGTGGCACATGCATATAGGATATGAAAGAGTCAAAGGTCAACATGGAAGCATATCATAGCGCAAATTGCATAGTTTCTTGTTATGAGACGTGATTTATCGGGATGGTGTAATGGCCAATGATATAAAGTTTGAAACTACACAGAGCTGACGTTTTTTAAAAATTGGCTGCTGACCTCCACATCACTGATCAAGGTACCATCATCTGCACTGCATGATTTTTCAGTTCTAATACCATTCTTATTCAATGACACTATTTTGACCTCGACACTGAAGTGCTTATACAAATTTACCATAAAACAATTAAAGGAAACAGGAGAATTGAATACTACAAAGAACACCATAAAACAATTAAATGATATCTACAAATTTACCCCATCATAAATTCATAATATATCAAGCTGGGAAGTAATACTCGTATTGTTCATTTCTCATCCAGCAAACATTTTGATTACAAAATGGACAGAGAAGTTTAAGAGACTGGTCTACAAGGAAAGGAATAGTTATACAGATTAAACTAACCTTGCTCTTGATTGACTTTCGTTAGTGCCATCCACATTTGCAATGCTGTTGCCTAATGGGGGAAACAAATGGGTAAACCAACTAAAACACACACACACACAAGTACGAATACCAGGGAAAAGTTGATTGAGCCTTGAATGCTCAATAGACAATGCCATAATACAATATGAATCAAAACTAACAAGAAGCTTGCAGAATAAATACCAGATGTTTCTTCTGTCTCCAAAGTTCGAGCTAGCTTTTCCAGAGTGATGTAAGTAAAATAACTGTACCAGGAAGTTAGAGATTCAATAAAGAAATCATCCAACAAATTGTTTGGAAAGTAAAACAATTATAAGCACAATTTGCCCCTCATTACTTTTCAAAAATTAGAATAAAAATAAGAACACAAGATATATAATTTAAATATCTAGAATATAATTTCTAAATAAAAGTTATCAAAGGAAAGGCTGCAAATTGGTGACAAATGACACCAAGACGCAACATGCCTGGTAAATTGAAATAACATATTATGATCCTCAAAAATGTGAAACTGACCACACGTAGATTGACCCAAAAAACAATTAAAAAAAAATCCAAAGCTGCCAAATCAAATACTTACAAGATTAGGCAAAAAAATATTGAAAATCATTGTAAAGACTGTGATTATACCGGACATCAATGTACTTGAAATACTTCGACGCAAGAAAATCTAAAAATATATCAATCTCCAACGCAGAGTGAACCTACAAGCCAAAAGATAGCAAACATGATTATATTATATACAGCAAAAAAGTACAGAATTTTGGTCTGTAAATTCAAAAGCAGTGTATAAACTACTTACAATACTCTGAATCAACCTGTGATATATAGCAGAGTGAAACCTTCCCCCATTCCCAACCTTTACAAACTCCATTATTGTGTCCAACACAACTTCCTAATCAAATGAAACCAAACGCATACATATTAACGAGAATAATGATGTGTGTATATATAAGATAAATTGAAATAAAAGGCAATATTACTCTGAGAGCTTCTTCAGAATCCGGAGATACGGCAATATCGATGAGTTTTCTGATGAGGTCGTCGAACTTGGAACGGACCCAAGTTCGGTAGATGAATTCGGGGTCATTCTGTGAAACTTGGGAGGAAAGTTTAGAGGCGGAAGAGGGAGGGAGTTGGGGGAGGAGAGGAGTGAAGAATGACTGTAAAGATAGCAAAGATTCGAGTGTGTAGTGAGGGGGAGAGGTAGGGGAGACGAAGGTGAGGAGGATAGGGAGGTTGTTGATGTGTGCCCTAGAAGAGAGAAGTTGGTGGCCTAGGGCTTTCAGTTCTGCGAGACTGTATTTCTCTCTCTTCTTCTGTTTCTTGACTGGAATGGACGCCATGGCTGAATTGGATTTACGAAGACGAAGACCACAGCCGACTTGGAGGGAAGAGAGGCACTGAGAAACGGAGGTAATATCACGTAAGAGAGAGTCGTTAGGGAAACGTCTATTGTGGTCTGTTTGGCACGCAGGTTATCCTACCCCAGTCCGTTTTTGATTATTTTTCCTGCCACGAGTCACGTTGTCCTCGAGTGGATTAGTTGATAAAGAAAATAAATAAATAAATAAAAATTTATTTTTTCCTTCAAGATGACAAAAACACTAGTATTTTATCTATTTTTTATTTTATTAATTACTTAATAATTCAGTGGGTTAGTACCTCTAATAAATTTTAGTATGCTAAATTTTAACTCTGTATTTACTAATTTAACTTCTAAAATTTCTTAATTATAATCTTACGAGCACTTTTCCATTTTAGTTAGAGATTCTCGTGCCATCTATCAGAACCCATACTATTTACTTTGCAAAAACTCATTTATTCATAATTTTTATAATGCGTCTACATTCCAAAGGTTTACACATTTAAGTGTAAATCCACACATATAACTGTTCTTAACCTCTTCCCAGTTATGCAACGCTTTTAATATCTAATAATTTTAAGAAACTTAAATAAAAAAATAAAAAAAAAAACCCTTTAAATCTGAAAAAAAAAAAAAAAAAAAAAAAAAAAAAAAAAAACTTCTTCCTAACCATACTTCAGATTATTTCATCTCCTGAAAATATATATATAAAAAAATACTTAATTTTTAGGATAAAGTACACTAACACCCCCTGAGGTTTGTCATAAGGACATTCAGATGGTCTATTTTGAGACAAAGACACCCCCTCAAGTTTCATACAGATACCAAAAACACCTAATGGTAATGAATTAACATTTTTGCCCTTTGCCCTTTATACTGACCAATTTGAAAGTTGAAATTACATTTTTAACCTTTACTTACAAACTAATCCTTCTTCCTTCTCCCATCTTCGTCTTAAACACATGATTTTTTTAAAGTAATATAATAATTTTTGCAGCCTTATATATATATATCAAACTCCTCTCCACAGCCCGTCGCCCACCGTTGCCGTCGCTCCATCTCAGCTGACCTCGCCGTTCCGAGCGAAGCCACAACCTCACCGCCGCGAGTCATTCACGGCCGAGTCAGCCGACTTATCCACAGCCGTACCGAGCCCATCAACGTCCCGCTGTTCAGTCCCGCTACCCGCCATCATCTAAAGCCGCAATCTCACAGCCGAACTTGTCCAGCGTCGTAGCTAATTACTGCTGCCGTCACTTCACCGCCAGGCATAACCATTATAAACACTGCCGATTCAATTCCAAGCTTACCGGTTGTTCCCCTCACTTGCCGACCTCTCCACAGCCGACCCTTCCATCGCCTGACCATCACGACTAAGCCCTCCACCGGCCGATCTTGCCGCTACCATCACGCCGCGAACCACCCCATCGCGGCTAAGTTCACACCACCGTCCGAAGCCTCCTTGCTCGCCGGCCCATGCTGCCATCTCCATAACGGAACCATCCACGCCCGAGCTATTCACCGTCGTTCCTCACCGACCTAATCCTTACATCGTCGTGAACTCTCTGCTCTCTGGTTGTGGATCGAGACAGTACTTGGTATTTGGACATTGCAACAAATTTATGTATATATTATATATATATACACACACACACGTAATAATTTTTGCCGCCGCCAAGCAGAGCATCTCTACCGTGGGTGGGTTCATCATCGCCAAGCAGATCACCTCCACGGCTCCATCGTGGGTGGGTTCATCATCGCCAAGCATGTCACCTCCACGGCTCCACCGTGTTCATCACCGCCTAATAGAGCCTTGTCGGACAATTTCACGGTTGCGAGTATATATATATATTTGCTATATCGGTGTATAGAGAGGTGTATAGAGAGAAAGGAGAAAGGCAATTAGGTCATTTAATTATTTTTGATATTTTACTATTAAAATTAATCAAATAATGTAGGGCAAATTAGACTTTTCACACATTTTAAGGCTCTGTTTGGCTGTCAAATATAACAAGGGAATATTTTTGTCCCAAAACAAGCTAAGTTTCATATGTGTAATATGTGTATCCTTTTAACAAAGTTGAGAGGGTAATAGTATACTTTACCTTAATTTTTATGTTCATTGACATGCACACTCCATGCCCACCTACTTTTACCTCTTTAAAACTCGAACCCAAAGGCGGCAAAGTGCTCAAAACACATTTAGACCTAGTTAATAGAAGCGAAGACCAGTAGGGCATGGCTCTTTGTGACTTCTTCCCATGACTGATCCTGCGGTAAGTTGTACCAACTTTAAAATATATTTGAGCTGGTGTTGCATCGCCAAAAAAAAAAATAATAAATAAAATTACAGTTTGTCCTAAAATATGGCACAATTACTATTCAAAAATGGGTAAGATCACATTTTTTAATGATAATTATGAAATAAAAATATTTTGGAGAAATTGTGTAAAGTCCTCCTCCACTTTCAAATTTTGCAAAAAAAAAAAACTCATTAAAAAAAAAAAAAAAAAAAAAAGAATCCTCTAACCATCAAATTTATTGTAAAGTAACGTTATAATGATAAAAGTGCCTCCTGAACATAAATTTAAGAGAAATATACACCTTAATATAAAAATTAAAACTAATACTGATAACTCATCAAGCATAATTTTCTTATAAATTTTCTATTTTATTTTTTTAATGGTACATCTATAAGAAAATATTACAGAACAATTTTAATTTGTTTTTTTATAAAAAGAAAGTAAATATTTTTTATTAAACATAATATGTCTTAACAAAATTGTATCACAAATATGACGAGGGTGTCCTACACTGTCGAATAGCCCAATTGGATCCTAATTGATTGGCGGTAGCCCAACAAAATATAAACATGCTTAAAAAAAATTAAAAATAAAAGGATAAGTTAGAGAGATTTGTTAATATTTCACAGAACCCTCTATGTCTGACTATTCCACTGATCTCCTACCACATGTTACTTTATAGTTTTGTCTTGTATGGTGATTAAAAATGTCATTTTATACATTAAAAAGGGTAAAAGTGACATTCTATGAAAATTTTCCTGTTGATTTGATATCAGAATCTCAAAACGATAACTCCAATTATGAAACTGAGAGAGGGATCAATGTGAAATACTGAGCTCCTGCATAATCTCTCCACTTGTCATGTTCCAAAGCTCTTTCTTCCCTGCCTCCGTCCCAAACCCTAATTTCCTTCGCCCCCTACCTCCACCATTTCCACTACTTTTCATCTCCTCCATTCCCAAACCCTAACCCTGCAATGTTCTGCATTTCCTTCTTTCTCTAAAATCCTCTCCATCTTCCCCCACTGATGCTCTGATTTTTGAGTTTAATCTATTAATTACTGAAGTTAAATTAAGATTGTGGCCTTAACTTTGCATCAACTACATTCAACGTGGGGTATGTGTACACGCGCAGTTTATACAACAAGACAACCTTGTAACAGAAAAGACAAAGAAAAAAAAATTTGTATGCACTGGTCTAAAATCATCCAATTGAATTCACTATTCAGACCAAATGTGCGGGTAACATAGCAGAGAAGGGAGAGATCACAGTTCATCCCCGCCGGTGATGAACGATCCACGAAAACCGTCGACGGCGAAACTGTGAGTGGCTTCGATTGATTATTCTGGTTTAACCCCCGTTTTTTATTTATTTTTATTTTTTATTTTAAGTGTTATACGATGGACATGTGTCAAACTTTAATTGAGCCAACTCACCTAATTCGTTGACTTCATTTGGCTTCACCAGAAACGCCTGTCATAATCGATCCCATCTGGTGACGTGCTTTAACTCTCTCGCGACAATGTGCTTCAACTACAAAGTGAGGTCAACCTCGTCGAAGTTCTTACACAGAATCCAACGAGGAACAATTTCTCAACACGGTCATTTAGGTAAGGTTTGGATTGTCATTTTATGCATCTGTGTCTTCTATGGTACGTGCATTTATTAGTATTATTGTTGATTAATTTCTATCTATATAGAAACGCCTATAATATGTTTACCAAACGGCCCAGAAGATTTTTTTGTATTATTTAATTTTTTTTTTTTTGAGTTATTATGACATGTCGAAGTTGTTGCTAGCTTTTCATGATGCAATTTTTTAGCAGGCAAACCATATTTTAATCGTACTTGATTTTCATTGAAACCAGTATAAACACTAAATTTACCATAGTTTGCACTTCGTTTTGCCTTCAAATTTTAGACAAAATGGATTTGTGGGAAATGCATCATGGACTTGCTGTAGAGTAATTGGACTGATTCATGTAACTAATTGACATTCTAATTCACACACACACATAATATGGATCTTCAGTGTGAATAACAGTTAAGAGGGGAAAAACAATTTAGAATAAATTTAGATTCCCGCATTTTTTGTGTAGCAGGTGTATGGAATGGCCCGCACAACACTAATTTTGTGTTTTTTCTCATCTATTCATAATTTTGTTTTAGTTTATTTCATTTATGTTTTTCTTTATCAAATCACAAGTTGTGCGCTAATTTTGTGTTCGACGAAAAGTGCATTGTGATAATTAAATGAATTCTTGTTTTACTTATATTTTTTACCTGGAATGGTTAGAGAGTTATGGGGGAAGGGTTAGAGGGTTAGCGGGAACGGGATTCAAACCTGGGAGAGGGTTTGGAGGAAGGGGATTCGAACCTAGGCGCATAGGGTGGGGGGCACTTAAGACCTGACTCTTTACCACTTGGGCAATGCCCCCAACCTAAATGAATTCTTGTTTTAGGGAAAGGGATTTTACTAATATGCTATGTTAAGAACATAAGAGAACTATGCGATGCTTGGGTTGGTTGTAGGTTTTCAGGGAGCCTAAACTGTATATAAAGGCCACAGTAGACTGCTACCTCATGGATATGTCAGATCCATTTAGCTACTCCTTCTATCTGCATCTAAGGATTATAAAACATTATCATTCTTAATACCTTGGTGACACAGCTTCTCATAACACGTGGTGCATAATAATGATACAATATATATAAATCTTTCAAAGACTATAAAAAATATGAATGTTTTTACCCTAATTAATATAAAGCAACTGCAAATTAATGCAAGAATAAATGATAAATAAAGACAATCGACATAACCGATGAGAAGTTTCCCACAATTAATCTGGGGTAATATGTTGTCATGGTGCCTCTCAGAAGCCCTCATTCCACTTAAGTTTTGCCAGTAATGCAGTACTAAGCACACCGTATGACTTCTCTCCAAGAATGCAACAAATTAGAATCCATCTTTTGGTTATAAAGTCTGTTTGTACATGACACTTCTTGGACCATTTCATGTATATCTTGTTAATCCGAAAGAAATTTCAAAATCATGTGATGTAATAAACTATTTGCATGTTTTGGTTGGTTCCTCCTTCCTGCCTGTGGCATCTACTATATACCTCCTGGACCTACTCTACATTAGAGTCATAGCTCTTTGTAATAGACATGCCTTTTCAATACTTTTAAACTGGTTCGCAAGTTAATTTTGCGTTGTCCATCTTCTTGTGTATGTGAAAAGCATGAGTAAAAAATTCTATTGACCTTTATTTGTCTTGGTTTCTCCAGCTTTGGCAGTACAGGTTGAAGAAAAAGAAGCGCCAGGAAGTGACTTACACCAAAAAAGTGTGAGAAAGTGGGCTCATCAGAAGAAAATCAACAAAGTGACGTGGATTATGATTTTTATACATAAAAATATAAACGAAGCATGAGGGGGATGAATTTTCCAAAGCGCTATGTGATTGTCATTCTAACCTTCATCTGCACGTGTGTATGCTATATAGAACGCTTGGGCTTCTCGATTGCGTATACGGTTGCTGCTGATGCTGCTGGGGTAAATCAATCAAGCAAAGGCACTATACTCTCAACATTCTATTATGGGTATGCCTGTTCACAGGTGCCTGGAGGATGGGTAGCTCAGAGAATAGGGGGGAGGCGTGTTCTCCTCCTCTCATTTGTATTATGGTCTCTAACTTGTGCTTTAGCACCACTGGACCCAAACAAAGTCATGACTTTGGTATTAGCTCGCTTGCTTGTTGGAGTGGCACAAGGGTTCATCTTCCCCTCCATCCACACAGTCCTAGCACAGTGGGTCCCGCCGCATGAAAGGTCAAGATCTGTTTCTCTTACGACATCCGGAATGTATCTAGGTGCAGCTGCCGGTATGCTTTTCCTACCAAGTCTGGTGAAGTTCAGGGGTCCCCAATCTATATTTCTTGCAGAAGCGGCTTTAGGTGCCATGTGGTCTCTTCTTTGGGTCAAATATGCCAGTGACCCACCTCGTTCTGAGCATGCAAAAGCAACTGCTGCTGGGTTTGGGGAATCTTTGTTGCCAATCAAGGGGAGTCAGAAGGTAAAGGTGGAGAATGGAGGACACTCCGGCAAACCTGCCAAAATTCCATGGAAGAGAATTATTCTCAGCTTGCCAGTTTGGGCAATTGTGGTGAATAATTTCACTTTTCATTATGCCTTATATGTGCTAATGAATTGGTTGCCCACATACTTTGAACAGAGTCTCCAGCTTAGTCTACAGGAAATGGGTTCTTCTAAGATGATACCTTATCTCAACATGTTCATATTTTCAAATATTGGTGGGGTGGTTGCGGATTACTTGATCACCAGGAGAATCTTATCTGTAACTAAAACCAGAAAGTTCTTGAACACTGTCGGATTCATAGTGGCTTCGATTGCATTGATGACACTTCCCCTATTCAGGACGTCTGGTGGAACTGTGTTTTGTTCTTCTGTGGCCCTTGGTTTCTTGGCACTAGGGAGAGCTGGGTTTGCTGTGAATCACATGGATATCGCTCCGAGGTATGCTGGAATCGTGATGGGAGTTTCTAATACAGCTGGTACATTGGCTGGCATTATTGGGGTTGACCTTACGGGCAAGCTTCTTGAAGCTGCTAGAACTGCTAATTCGGATATTACAAGTCCAGAAACCTGGAGAGCTGTGTTTTTAATACCAGGCTTGCTCTGCATTTTCGGTTCTTTCTTGTTTTTACTATTTGCAACCGGGGAGAGGGTTTTTGACTAGGTGAGCGTAGTGTGAATGTGCCATGGCTTATCAAGGCTCATCAATGTTCTGACTCATAGACAATTTAAGAGGCATACCTGTTTTGTTAGAGACCTCTGATATCACCCTTCCCCAACAGGACTATATATTCAGGTTTTTTGAGGGAGAAAGATTTAAAGTGGTCCGCATATTTGGATAGATATTTCAAAATAGTTGTTTGATTGTTGTTGCGCATTGGCCAAAGGTCGCTGCTCGTTCTTATATATACCATGGGTCAGGTTTTTGTTCCGACACATGGAGGATTGTATCATTGAGATGTTTGGGTTCCACTGACTGACTTTACAGACATTCTTGGGCACCAATGGCATAGCTGTGAACCTTGTTGAAATGTTAATGTTGATTGTGATGCCCTATGGCCTTTAAGATGGTACAGGAAATCTATCTGAGTGCTTTCTGGCTTTCCAGGTGTTATCTTCAAGCATGTTGACATAGAACTGTAATTCTTTTTCGTTATCATGGAACATTTGATTTTAATTTGTAATATCGGGAGGAATTTATGAATGATGTCATCTTAAATTATGTTGATTTTTGGATTATGAGTAACTAATGATGTTTCTAACCTTTAGAGAGATAAAATAATTAGTGGTGGCCTACCAGAGTTGGTGTTATTTGATCCACTTGCAGCAACCTACTTTTGCGAGAGCACTCAAGTTAGCAAATCTAACACTGAGTTGCTATCACCATGGACTTAGGATACTTATTTTTTGCAAATTGACAGGTAGGGCCACTCTTTAACAAATGACATTGTTAACCTTATTAGGCTAAGACACCATTAAAGAAGTTATTTGCTTGTCACATGGATACAATTTGTTGTTTCTGATCTTTCACCAACCAAGCCTGAATGAGACTTTTAACCTTTTAAAGGTTGCTGTATCTCTCTCTAATAACAATTTCTAATCCAACCAATGAAAGACAAGCAAAAACCCAATTGGCCATAGTTGCCATCCATTCATCAAGGAAATATCAATCCATGGCCTACCTCAGGATGATGAAACCAAGATATTTATAAATCCTCGTTATATACTTTAATTCCATTTCCATTTATTACTCTACATATTCCAACCACTCCCAACATTTTCCCTGACATTACCGTATTAAAAAGGAAAAAGAAAAAGAAAGATACACTGATGTGTAATTCTTCTGTTTAAATATATATTCTATAAAATACATATTTTGCTGGTGATTATGATAAAAATTAGTATATTATTGAGATAATATTAGAATATCTTATGATAAAAGCAAGTTGTTACTAGTAAATATCAGTTCTGTTGCTCAGATATTGTGGTTTGTTACAACCATGTGTTCAATAGTGCCCTTTCTAACCCCTACTGTACTTGCTTTCTCTTTCATCATCTCTGTGATTTCAACGCCATTATAGTAGTAGAAACAGGAAACCCAACTTACCAAGTTGTTCTCTTTCTCTGTCATGAAGGATTCTCATAATATAAAAAGGGCTAGTGATCATTGCTGAGTAAGTGGTTTCTTTCCCTAACATGTGAAACTTGATCTTTTCTGTATGAGTTTCTCTTTTTGCTTTTGCTTTTTTTTTCTTCTTTTTTTTTTTTTTTTTTTTTTTTTTTTTAATTATGTTTCTTTTTCAGTCTTTGTAGCACTTGTTCTTCATTGATTCACCCTTTTACCTAAAATGGGTGGTTGAGTGCCTTGCTGCTATGCCACGGTTCCATTATAATTTTCTTTCAATTATGTAAAAAAAAAAAGCTGAAATTCACTCCCTGTGGTTTTTAACTTTAATGGGTAACTCTTGTTTGTAAAAATGATGATGTTTCAGTTGGACATATTTTGGCTTTTTGGTCTGCTTGGTTCTTTTGGATTTAAAATTCTCATCAACTGCTACTAATTATTCTGTTATTCTTGCTTTCTTGTGTTGAAACTTTAATTGGAGTTTCAATATTGAGTATTCATTGTTTTGGGTATTTCAGTATTTATTCATTTGAGTTTTTCCAGCTAACACTATAATTCTTCTGTTTCTTGTCTTCTTGTGTTAGAACTTTAATTGGTGTTTCAATATCGAGTATTTATTCTTTTTGGTATTTAGAATTCATCAATTTGAGTTTTTCCAGTAAACATTGTGTTTGGATTTGAGTTTTCTTTTCATTCTCTTTGTTTCTGTGTTCTGTTCATTTCAGAAGCAGGGTGGCAGGGTTAATCTTCTGATTTCATCATGAGTTTGATTTTGCTGGTGCCTATATCTATTCTCTTTGTTGGAGCATTCTCAGAAGGGGTTTCGGAACCTGAAGTGGTGAACATTGGAGCTATCTTCACATTTAGCACTATCAATGGGAAAGTTGCAAGGATTGCCATGAAAGCTGCTGTGGAAGATATCAATTCTGATCCTACCATTCTTGGTGGTCGAAAACTGGCTCTCTCTATGCACGATTCCAACTACAGTGGATTTCTCGGCATCATTGGGGGTAACTTTGTGTTCCATTTTATTGGCTCCAAGGATTCTCCCTTTGTTTTTGTTACTGTCCTATTGCCCTCTTATCATATTTCAAATGTTCATTTTCTTGATTAGATGATCTGGTTCTTATCATTCCAATTTCTTCATTTGTGACTCACAGCATTACAATACATGGGGACTAATACTGTTGCTATTGTTGGCCCTCAACATTCCATGATGGCCCATGTACTCTCACATCTTGCAAATGAGCTCCATATCCCACTGTTGTCATTCACTGCTCTAGACCCCTCCCTTTCTTCTCTCCAGTACCCTTATTTTATCCAAACAGCACCCAATGACCAATTCCAGATGGCTGCAATTGCAGATATGGTCAGTTATTTTGGTTATAGAGACGTAATTGCAGTTTACACTGATGATGATCAAAGCCGAAATGGTATATTTGCACTAGGTGATAGACTGGCAGAGAGACGGTGTAAAATTTCTTATAAAGCAGTACTTCCCCCTGACCCTAAAGCGACCCGAGACGAGGTCATGAATGAGTTAATTAAGGTTAGATTGGAGGAATCTCGAGTCATTGTTCTAAACACTTACTCCAAAACAGGTCTTTTGGTTTTTGACGTGGCTCAGTATCTCGAAATGATGGAGAATGGATATGTGTGGATTGCTACTACTTGGCTATCCACTGTCCTAGATTCTACTGCACCAATTTCTCCAAAGATTGCCAACTCTATCCAAGGAGTTCTCGCTCTTCGTCCCCATACACCCAACTCAGAAAGGAAAAATGCTTTCTTATCTAGGTGGAACAGGTTGAGTAATGGCTCTGTCGGTTTGAACCCTTATGGACTATATGCTTATGATACTGTTTGGATTATTGCTACTGCAATTAAAGCGTTTTTGGATCATGGTGGCACTATCTCATTCTCCAATGATTCAACTTTAAGTGGTCTAGGGAAAGGAAATCTGAATCTTGGTGCATTGAAAATTTTTGATGGGGGGAAGCAGTTGCTTAGCAACATGTTGAAAATCAATATGACAGGTCTAACTGGTCCTATTGGATTCAATCCAGACAGATCTATGATACATCCTTCCTATGATGTTATTAATGTAATTGGAACTGGATTCCGGCAGATAGGATACTGGTCTAACTATTCGGGGCTATCAGTTGTGCCCCCAGAGAGACTTTATGCCAAACCACCCAACCGGTCAACTTCAAACCAACAACTTCATAGTGTGATATGGCCTGGAGAAACAACAATTCAGCCTCGCGGGTGGGTTTTTCCAAACAATGGGAGGCAGTTAAAAATTGGAGTTCCGAACCGAGTTAGTTATCAAGCTTTTGTCTCACGGGTCAAAGATACTGATATGATCCAAGGGTATAGCATAGACGTTTTCCTTGCTGCCATAAAGTTCCTTCCGTATGCGGTTCCTTTTAAGTTTATTCTGTTTGGAGATGGTCGCAAGAATCCAAGCTACAGTGAACTTGTAAATATGGTTGCATCCAATGTGAGTAAACAGATACTAATACTTGTAGTAAAGATACAAAGCTATATGATCTCTAATGATTCTTTTATTAAGACACAACGGTATATGATCTCTAATGATTGTAGGCCTTTGATGCTGCCGTTGGTGACATTGCGATCGTCACAAACCGGACAAAGGTTGTCGATTTTACTCAGCCATACATAGAGTCAGGGCTAGTTATAGTGACTCCAGTCAAGAAGCAGAACTCTAGTGCTTGGGCTTTCTTGCGGCCATTCACTCCGTTAATGTGGGGAGTCACAGCAGCTTTTTTCCTTATAATGGGGGCAGTGGTTTGGATTCTAGAACACAGAACAAATGATGAATTCCGGGGGCCACCTAAGAAACAGTTCGTTACAATCCTGTGGTTAGTACTTGATACATCATTCAGTCACCTACACACACACATATATATTACATTTTATGCTTCAAGCTATGATTCTCACTTGAAAGAACTATAAGTGTGTTATTTCAATATAATGACCTAAATTGTGGTTACTACTTACTAGTAGAAGGCTGTTGGCCTATTATATTATTTCAGAGTTACAAGTAAAATCATTAGAGAAATAATGTTGATACGACAATCCATTTATTCAAAATTCTAGTCTGTTTTATATCCGTGGCCATGTTTAAAGCTACTTGCCTGTGCTTCCTCGTAACTCCTCGTCTTCCTTTGTTCTCTTCTCCTTGCAGGTTTAGCTTCTCAACCATGTTTTTTTCCCACAGTAAGTATCCACCACCACAACCACCTTGACTATTTCATTTCAAGAAATTCAGCAATAGACTAAGCCAGTGGCACTAACAAAAGGGTGCTTCGAATTTTCAGGAGAAAACACAGTGAGCGCACTTGGTCGCATGGTGCTACTTATTTGGCTTTTTGTGGTTTTAATAATAAACTCAAGCTATACTGCAAGCTTGACATCAATCCTCACGGTGCAACAGCTATCCTCACCCATCAAAGGAATTGAAAGCTTGATAACAAGCAATGATCGGATTGGGTTCCAGATAGGGTCTTTTGCTGAAAACTATTTAAGCAAAGAACTCAATATTGCGAAATCTAGACTTGTTGCTCTTGGCTCACCAGAAGAATATGCTTTTGCCCTTGAGAAAGGAACCGTAGCAGCTGTGGTTGATGAAAAAGCATATGTCAACCTTTTCCTCGCAAACTACTGCAAGTTCACAATTGTTGGTCAAGAGTTCACTAAAAGTGGTTGGGGATTTGTGAGTATCTCAACTGTAAACCATTAGTTGAAAATCTTCTTGTCTGAGTTATCTAATGAATCAAAGTTAACAAACTCAATAGTCAGAAATTATCAGATGACTCAATTCAATTGGCACGAAGCCTACATTGGGGGGAAATATTTCTGAAATGGCTAAAATTTATAGACAAACAAGAACCAAGTGTAATAGCATGGAATGTTATCGTGAGAACGTAGATTTAGTTGGCAGCCACTTTGTGCAAATAATGCCAAAGGTTAGATTTGTATTCAATTTGCTCCTCCCAACACCCTTGGTCTTACAAAGAACCTTAGCATTTTTGGTAGGGAATTTTGTTGACTCTCAGTTCCTAAATCATGTTAGCTTCAAGCAGTTTGAGCATTGCTGGTTTCCCCAAGAAGTTGGTACTAGGTTCTTTTTCAGAAGCAGCTAAAAAATGGTTACTTTAAAGTTCGAAAACCAAGTAGCTTGTTTAAGATTTAATGTCTTTGTTCTGTTTGGATGCTGATCGATTATAGTTGTCACTAGTGATTTCTTTTAGACAAACTCTTAATATGCCAAAATAACACCATTTGTCTAGTTATCTATATGGAGTTGCTCTGTTATCCATTTTTCTGGTTTTGTGCAGTGGGATAACTCTTCTGATGATTTTCTCATTCTTATTTTTCATATTAGGCATTTCCAAAAGACTCTCCATTAGCCGTTGACATGTCAACCGCCATCCTCACACTATCAGAGAACGGTGACCTTCAAAAAATACATGACAAGTGGCTGAAGGGAGAAGCTTGTAGTTCGGAGAGCTCTCAGCTTGAATCAGACCAGCTTCATTTAAGGAGCTTCTGGGGGCTTTTTCTCATTTCTGGCATTGCATGCTTTCTCGCTCTCCTTATATATTTGTACTTGATGCTACGCGAGTTCAGCAGGCATCTTCCTGAACTATCTGATCGTTCTATCCGTGGCCATACACGCCCTGCACGAATCCAAACATTCTTATCATTCGCCGACGAGAAGGAAGAGGTATCTAATAGAAAGTTGAAGAGAAAACATACTGAAATGTCATCAAGTGTTTATGGTAAGGAACACGAATCAATGAATGGATCTAAAAGAACAGAGATTGACATTTCTGAGGTGAGGCATAATGATGATACTTCATTTCATTAACAAGTCTAGTTTTGACCCCTGTGAATTATAGCAATGTGTGCCTATTTATCTCTCAAAAAAATTCACTTGTCACTTGACAAACATTTGGCAATTTTGAGCTGCTGCTAATTGTTAATGAGCTGTTTTTTTACTGAAGAAAAGAGAATGTCTCAATTTTCACTCAAGATGATTGTGTTTCGACTGATTTGGTTGTCGATATACAACACTATGGATAATGTACAAATTATATATAGAATAAAGTATTAAGACAAATGTCTGACAGCAATCTTATATTATATTGTTCAATTTCTCTTGTAATTTTAGTTTAAGATCTCACTAATAACAGATTTAATAGCAGCTGTTTAAGGAACACAAAAAAAAAAAAAAAAAAAAGTGTAAATCTCATTCAATAATGTTTATTTGCTTAAACTTTACAAAAAGTAAATCACACAAATGTGGTCACTTTACTACAATATTGGGATATTTTATTATGTTAAGAAAAATGGTTGTTTTGCATATATGATGTCACATTACAATGCAGTAATGCAGTAAGAACAGAAGTGCAGTAAAACGGTCATAACACTAATAACAGTACAATAGGCTCTTGCAAACCGTGCAGTCCAAATTTGGAGAGCCACAGAGGTCGAATGGGCTCTTGAAAAGTGGGCTCCAAAATTTTGACTGTTGGGGCTCTTCGTTTTTAAAGAGCAGGCACTTTATGTTTTTCAGGGGTCCAAAATTTGAATTTGGGCAACGGTCTTAAGGGCATGTTTGGCCATATTGTAACCTAAAATTTTTTTGGCATTTTTTTTTTTGTTTGCACTTGACTGAATAACAACTCTTAGGCACTGTTTGGCTGATACAAATAGTGTGTAAACGATTTTATTGACAAAAAAAAGTTGATTTTAAATTTTTTTCTGGACTTGATTGAAATAAGAGTAGTTAGGCACTATTTGCCGAAAAAGTTATATATATATATATATATATAACCATTAAAAAAAATATTATTTTTAGAGAACAAAATCGGAACATTGTGATGCTTTCCCTAATCAAAATTTGAAAAGTCGAAAATACTGATGTAGTTTTAAATTCAAAACGTTGTCATAACCCTACAAAATCATAATGTGACAAATTTAAAGAGTCAAAATTTGGAGAGTACGTTGGTGATGGTAGGGAGCACAAAAAGGTACGTCTCAGTGGTGCTTTCATATTGTCAATTGAAAATAGAGCTGTTGATTTTTGAGTAAGTAGTGGATGGCCATGGCTTAAAGTTATGCCGGTTGACATGATCTGCAGTCCCTTATTTTGTTGATGCGCCACGGATATCAAAGAACAAGAATTGGACAGGGAGGGGCTGGGATGGGTGGGGTCCACTGTTGGCATGGATTACTCTCAACCCTTCTTCATAGGGGATTCGGATCCATTAAAGCACTCTTGGCACGTCAAGATATAATTTACATATATTTCAAAGTGCAATGCACATTTGAAATAAACTCTTGACTCCGCTCTTGTTGTCTTCAACATTCGTTAGGCGAAAGTATTGACTTTAAAACCATGCATAACACGTCTCTCAATTTCAAAGGCTTATTCTTCCTTACTCTTATCTAATATAATTTTACTTTATTTATATGATTATAATCATATTTTTATTGTGTTTAAATTCAGTATATTTGTATCATTTATTTAATATATCAATATTATTTTTTGAAATTGATTGTATACAGTTTATTTTAATTCTTTCACTCTAAATGATATTTATTCTACTTATTCATTATGAAAAAGTGGTGTACTTCTTTTTATTTAGATTATAGTATTATTTATTTGATTATTGAGAGTATTGTAATTTCCGTTAGTATTATCTTTTGACATCATATTGCAACTTATATATTTGTTGAACATGTCAATTTATAAAATGAGAATTCTTAAATTAATATCTTTATATATGAATGAATTTCTATAAAATTTCCTAGCAAGTATCACTAGTCTCCCATTCTAAAATGCCCATAATTTTGCCTACCACTTGAATTAATACATGTATAAACCAACAAATATAATCCTTCGACTACTAATAAAATTTGAGTTGTTGAATGTTTCACACTCAATAGGTGCAATTTATAAGATTAGGGTCTTTTGGTCATCCATTGATACTATAAAAAATAAAAATAAAAAGACTGGATGAGACAACCACAGTCCATGATTTAACCATTGTTAAATAAATAAATAAATAATACTCCAATTGAACTGTGACAAAATAAAACCTTAATCCAGACAGGACAATAAAAAATTTGAGGCACTTTGTTCTTTTACTACAGTAATATAATTTATATATTATAGTTGAAATCCTAATGCAGATAATTTTGCATTTTTCATGATAATAACATCTAAAAAAAAAAAATTATTTTTGAAGGAATTTTATTTTTTTTTAACAAAAACCTTTAACTTGTTCTTTGTTAGAAAATTGTTTTAAAGGTAACATAACACACCTAGATACAATCTTTGAAGTGTTTCTCAATATGATTTTTTAAAAGATCATTTTTGATAGTTTCTTCTTCTTCTTTTTTTTTTTTTTTTTTTTTTTGTAAGTCTACATCATCGAGATTTATGAGTTAAGGGTTTGATTATGTGAGGGGAAGGTCTTAGGTATCCTGAAACATCGATAAACTTTGCAGAAATAATAAAAATATCTATAGTAATTGAATCAAAATAGTTTACGGGTTAGTTGATGAATATAACACAATTAATTAGAAGAGTCTAATTAGGTTATTGTTGAGCACCAAAACGCACGATGTGATTAATTAAATAAATTAAATAGGTTGATACAAACATGATTCAGATGAATATAAAACTATTAACTTATGTTTGAATTATGTTAACCATTCAAATGGAATTTTGTCACCCTAATTAAGATTAAACTTAGGGGTGCACACGGTTCTGGTTCTCACGATTTCGGTTGGAACCGGAATCGGAACCGTATAGGGTGGAACCGACTCTTAATGAAGATCTGAAGAGAAGATGAGGAGTGACTAGTGAGGATGAAGATCTGAAGATGTAGGCGAGGACTGAAGTCTGAAGCTTGAGATGAGACTTATATCAAGCTTGAGATTTTTTCCTCAATCTCATTGGGAAAGCTATTCATGTAGTGGCTGAAATATGTTTGTTTTTTATATGATCCAAACACACACACAAACACACACCAAACAGTGATGTGTAGCTAGCCGCAGAAGTTACTCCAGGTGTACAAAAAAGACTTATCAAAAAATATATATATATCAAGCTTGATCTGAAGTCTGAAGCTTGAGATGAGACTTAATCTGAAGAGGAGGCGATGGCGAGGGCGAGGGCGAGTGCCGATGAGAGGAGGCGAGGGCGATGGCTGGTGAGAAGACTCAGAGGAGGCGAGGGTTTAGGTGATGAGAGGAGGCTGGAGGCTATGACTGAAGTTTGAAGCTTAGGGCAAAAACTGAAAAAGTAATGTTTTATTTAAGTTTTTCACTTTTTCTTTTGTGGTTAGCTTAGGACCACGTGGCTACCTGATCAGTGTTTACTGTGTTTAGAGACTTAGAGTACTATTTGGTTACGTTTTTAGCCTATTAAGTTAGTATAGTTACTTTATATATATATATATATATATATATACAGTTTCGGTTCCCACGGACTGGAACCGGGATCGGAACATTATGTTAATAGTTCCTAATTTCGGAACCGGAATCGGAACTGGAATCGTGAGAACAAAAAAAAAACGGTTCCGGTTCTCACAGTCCCGGTTCCGGTGCTTTTGTGCACCCCTAATTAAACCCTCCAACTCAACCAACCTTGAGGAGTTGCAACCCTAGGCAACATGAATGTGATACCCCTCGATTCTAGAGCCACGGGTGATCAAGTCCGAGCACAGATCCGAGGGATATCAGACAATTAATATGTAACCAAGTAAGAATAAAACTGAATTAAGAATAAAATAATAATGAGCTGAAAGAAACTAAAATGAAAATTCTCGAACCTTAAATAATAAATTAATATAATTTAAATCCATACAACTCGGGAATCCACCTAGTGGACCCCTAATTCCAAAACTTTAAATAAATTTACAGAATTAAAATCCAAAACCAAAATAGAAAGGAAATCCTATGTAACCGGAAGAGTGAGTGTCTGTATCTGCATCAACACGATCAAACTCTAAGCCTGGTACTGGCGAATACCTGAAAAAAAAAGAAGTGGGTCAGGCCCACATGCAAGTTTCAATCTACTACAATCCGTACATAAACCCGATACGCAGATACATCCTTGATAACTCGGCAATATCTACAATAGTCTATATATATATACACACACTATAGGATGCTCACTAGCCTATAACATAGTTCAGCCTGGGTAGAAGGTGATATATAAAACACGCTTTTCAGCGGCCAAGTACCTAGACCTACCAGGGAACATTAGCTATATCTAGCTATCTAACCTTTGCAATATATGCACCCTAACCGTGATCAAGAGACTCAAGCTCGTATCACGGCACCATAAATATATATATAAATTCCTTCCTAATACAGAAAGATAAAACAAACATCCGTTATATCGTTCAACTGTTTTAGTTGACAGGACATGCATCCATGTAGGATTTAACTATTTTAGTTAATCCATTCCATATGTATGAAGGGGTAGGACTTAGCTTTTTGATCTAATCCATCCCTGATATGTCACCGTCCCATACCGGTACATATAATGCAAATAATCCACCAGTGATGCACATTCATTAGAACATCAAGTATATCCATGAACCAGCATAATAGAAAACAGGTATTATTAAGATCCTATTATGCATCCAGTATATGATTATAATCATAAAACTCCTATTAAATTGTTATAGTACTGTTAAACAATTTAAATTATCCACATCCATCCAATTGACAAAACAGAAACTAAATCAGTTCATCAATTAACAACCATAGCAGGGTATAATGATTATCAGACTTATGAACCGAGCACAATATACCATTCAACCCAAACCATACCCTCATACTAGTTCATTTAAATCATTAAAACAAATACTAGTAATGTAAACCTCCTTAACCCCCTGACGGCATAAAATTTATGTTTGCATCATATGACGTCCTTTTAATCCTCCAACTTAAAACCTGTGCTTGATATAGTATAACACAGAGAAGTCAAACTGTACCTCATATAAGTCCCCAATGGTACAATATACTAGCCCATTTAACTGGTGAAAATAACCCAGTAGTTAGAACTTCCTCCACTCCTTACAGCATGCAACTATATATATTTAAAATTACACGTCAACCACAACCACAACCCAACCAACCCTCTTGAGACTCATATATATCCTAGACATCATTGCTATAAAATCCCAACAATATCTGTTATATCAGTTCATTGAATTTGCGGAAACAACTAGCCTTTCCGTCTCCCATCCTTTCTTCCGGACAGCATACACATTACTAATGTTTATGTTCATGATGCCCCTTAGAATTAAACCCTAGCATAAACCAACTGTTTAAAGGTTCCAATAGGTAAATTTTTAAGTATTTAGAACCCCCTTTTATTTTTCAGAAACTCTGTTTAAGGCCCCAAAGTCAAAATAAATATCGAAAATACCCCCGAAGGGGTATTTGTTCAAGGGAGCCGGCTCCCCCCCATGGGAGCCGGCTCTCCCTCATGGAGAGCCGGCTCTACTTTAATGGGAGCCGGCTCCCTCACTTAGGGAGTCGGCTCTCCCCCCCTGAGAGCCGTCTCTACTCCATGCGTCTTCTCTACTTCATCCGGTTGCCTTCTCCGCTTCCGGCGAAGCTTCCAGTCCCTGTCCCAACACTTTTAACATCCTTAGGGTCTAATTTAAATCTAAACAGTCCTAGAAACTCCTCACATTCCATTAGGAATTAAATTACAGAAGTTCAATACATAACCAAAATAGTTTATGCGTGAACCGATTTCAGTTATTTAAAACCGACAAAATTCCAAGTCTCTGTCCGAATAGTTTTAAAACTTCTTAGGATCTACTTTAAATCCAATCAGTCCTAGAAACTCTTTAAAACCCTTATGAATTGATTATAAAAAACTTAACACACTCGGAATAGTTTTAAGACCAAACCAGTTACAGTTTAAACGAAAGCAAACAACGGATTACAGTTTGATTTAATTATGCATAACACATCCATTTTTAATGTTTAATTAATGTCCTCGAGTCTATTTAGAATGCACAGAACACAAGTTTACAGGAATGAGATAGACTGAAACTTGCCTTTAGGTTTCGGTTTGAAACCTTTCAACACCGTTGCTAAATTCTCCAATGAACTGCAGGCTACCTGCAACTGCAACTCTCTTACGGTTCCAGTTCTATCTCACTCTCAACCTCTTCCTTCCTCTGTGGTACACCCTCAGTCCATAGTTGAAAGCTTAATTGGTTCGCCCAGTTTTCCCTCTGTGTTTTTCCTTCCAACCCTCTCTGTTTTCCCTCTCAGTACACTTTTACGTGAAAAAGGATTTGTCTCAACCCTAGCAGACTTATAAGAATATATATATAGCCGTCCCAGGTTTAATTAAAACCTAACCTAAGTTGGCGTCCAAACCATATAAAAATAAAACCCTAATCCTATATTCAATACAAGACCAAATAAAACAATTAATGTAGACAACTAACCAAAATAAGTTATATAAAGTGCACGTCATTTATCATCAAATAATTAAATTAAAATAATCTCAATTCAACAATTAAATTAAATACACACAAATAGTAATAAATCAATTAGGCAAATAAAACAATTAAGCTAAACAAATAACAAATAAGTCCAATTATTAAATTAAAAAAAAATGGAATACAAATCAAAATTGAAAATTAAATTCCCATTCCCATTTTATCCTTTTGAAAACTAAGGGTATTACAATGAACCACAACACCAAAATCAATCAGAGAGTATCACTTGTTTGCCATCAAAAAATGCCCATAATTTTGACCACCACTTAAAGTAATTCATTCATAAACGAACAAAATTAATTCTATGGGATAATAACATTCAATGATGTATCCAAGAAAATCTTCCACGGTTCCTAATTATTTTGTTCTTTTAGACCATCTCTAATGTTAAAGCTCATTTTCACATGCCAAATTTATATTTTGATAGGTGCTACAGTATCAAAATACTACATTTTACCAATTTTGCTCAAATGGTGCATTTCATGCAAAATGTTATTTTTTTACACAACTACCAATTTTATTATTATTATTTTTATTTTATTATTGTTATTATTATTTTTTCGGAAGTTAACCACCATTCTTTTTCAATTACCATTCCCACCATTCATATTTGCATTGGTAATATTAATATTAGGTACATTTCAAGTTAAGTTGTAGACATTAGAAACAAACTAAAATTGAACCTAATTAAAAAAAAGTAAAAATCTAAAATATCTGATTTGGGGGGGGGGGGGGGGTGTTTATATATATTTAATTGTATAATTTATACCCCTATGACATAGGAAAAAATATAGTACTACCTCTGTCCCACATTAGAAGTTCTTTTTTAGAAATGAGAGTTTTTAAGAATACATGCATTTAATGTATTGTCCTTTTTTAAAATTATGAATTTATCCCTTCTAATTTAAATATTTATAATTATAAAATTTGAAATTTTTTGAAAAGATAGAATATATAGAATTTATTTGTTGTGTGAGGACAACTAATTTGGAGAGAAAAATAGACTATGATACGGGACTGAGGGTATATTTAGGGCAAATCATTTCAGTCTCCCCAATCGCCTCCATCTCGTTCTCACTGAACTTGCCCCCTCTCTCGGCGATATCATTTCAGATTGTTCAAAAAATCAAAACCCATATCTTTCCGTTTCCATCGCCCGCTGTTCCAGTTCGGGTTCGCCCTTCGCAAGCTTCAGCCGCTGTCTCTCAACTCTCAAGCTTGCCCCCCCCTCTCTCTCTCTCTGCAACTGCTAACTTGTATGTATGGATTTTGTTTTAATTTTTTTTTTTCTCTCTCTCTCCCTCTCTTTCTGTATCTGTGTGTCTCTCTCTCTGTGAAATAGCTTCTGCTTAAACAGCCTCCGCTATCGCCTCAGGTGACAAGGTATGTTCATCCTCTTTCTCTCTTCTCTCTCCTTTTGCATGAATCGATCTTTTATATATGTTTCTTTCTTTCGTTCATCTCATCATTTGATTTGTTCTAACTTTGGTTCGTTTGATTCGAGCCTTTACCTTTGTTCCAATAGTGAAAAGTAGCTTCCATATTAGGGTTTTTTTGTGTGTGTCACTGTGTGTGATGGCTATCAAAAGCTGAATGAATATATTATGGTTCTCTTAGTATTTTAATAAATGTGTGCCTTTCTACATGTGTCTTTCATGGCGATCGAGTCCATAATCTATGGCAGGCACTTTTTTTTTCCTCGACAAAAGCAGCAATCATACCCCTTTTCCTCATAAGTTTTTGCATTTTCACATTCAATCCTACGAAAATTAAGGATCCCTTCTAGTGGGTTGAGCCGTTGAGGTAATAATTAACTTTTTCGATCTCTAAATTATGCTCATACTTAAAAGTGCCAAATTAAGTGTGTTTTTTTTTTTATATTTTATTTTTATATGAAGATACATACCACCATTATTGATGTTATTTGAAGTTGGCTCAGCTAGAATTTCAGTTAATAATACTCTCAAAGCACTTGGCATCAGAATGTATACATGGAAATCAAGAGCAGGCTTTAACAAAACAAAAGTTAATCGTTTTTTCTATTAATTTGCACAGGTCTTCTGTAGCAATGATCAATCAATCACTGCTACTAAAGTTGATTCCTCATCCTGAAATCAAGAAAGGGGTAATTGGCTCCCAAAAAAAACACACACAAAGTGTAGTTAATATAAAGAGTGAAAGACAAAACTATATATGATAGTGGATGCCACATATAACCTCAAAGTCCCACTACTTCTTCAGCACTACAAGTTCAGCCTCCTATATATGTAGTCACCTCATCTCCACATATTTTTGTCATCTAGAGTCATCAAATTTTTGCAGCTATATAAACAATGAATGTAAAAAAGAAGCTGCAGTTATCTGTTCCCCATTTCCACTTTTGGACTGTATTTTGGATACTTTGTTTTGTCTCCTCTCCTCTCCTCCAGATTCCAGTGAAAACTCCAGCCAGGAGATCATTCGACCAAAGTGCTTGATTTTAGATTTTTTTTTTTTTTATATTTATTGTATGATCGGCAATGCTTAGTTATTATTGTTTCTGTTTGATTCTCCATCCGTTTTATGTTAATTGTGATCTTCTTTCACATGCTAGCAGGACACTCTTCTTAGGATCTCGTGAGGTTATTTGCCTTGAACTTGAATCAAATCATTGCATATTGAGGTAATATATATTTCATTTAAACAAAGCAAATTATTATTATTATTTTTTTGAAGTCTAGTTTTATGTTGATTATGGTTCCTGTTATTTAGATTTCAAGAGATTTCATTATGTGTACAAGAAAATTTGAATCTGGGCATGAAAAAAGGAAAAAAAAAAAAAAAGAAGAGAGAAGAAGAATTGATTCAATCTCAAAAAGGAGATAATCTTAAGTTTTTGAGGAGCAATACACAAATAGAGAGTTTAGTTGAAGATTTGGTGAATGAAGAACATATGAATGCGAAAGTAAATGAAGAAAATCTCAATAAACATGAAGATTTAATGAATGAAGATCATAGGAAGTTAGTCAATGAACATGAAGATTTAACGAGTGAAGATTATAGTTATTAGTTAGTTGTCTTATGCACAATGCACATGTGCACAATTAAATTAGCTATAGAATTTCAAAACATCGTGTGAAAATTTCGCACTCTTATAATTTTTTTTGCGCGTGTGAAACTTAAGGGCCTCACATTTGAAAGTTTGCCTAGGGCCTCTCAAAATATTTGGAATCTCAGAGCCGGCCCTGATATAACATTGCATTGGAGAGGCTCTAAATTGAGTGGTAGAATGTTAAAAATTAGGATATTTTGGTCTATCCAATGATGCTGTAAAATAAAAAATACCTCATTTGTTTGAGTGAAAACAAATAAAATAAAAAATCAACACATAAATAGTACTCCCTCCGTCCCACTTTAATTGTCGCCTTCGGGAACCGTAACGGTTCCGAAGGCGACAATTAAAGTGGGACAGAGGGAGTATTGACGGTTCCCGAAGGCGACAATTAAAGTGGGACGGAGGGAGTATTGAGTACTTTTATTACTGTATTATTTTATAAGCTTGTTGACTCAGCTCACTTTTGCCTTTTCATCAATTGCAGCTTCTATACTATTCTCTCTCTCTCTCTGAAATGGCAGCGATCTGCTATCAATCTTCTTTCAAGCTACTATCCACATCTCCTTCAACAAACCTCTCCAAACCCAACTTTTCTCTCTCTACAACCTTCAGATGCAACCTCTCCGCCCCTTCTCTTAAACCCCTAATTGCAGAACCAGATCCAGTTTTCACTTCCGTTAAATCCTTCGCACCAGCCACGGTGGCTAACCTCGGCCCAGGCTTTGACTTCCTTGGTTGTGCCGTTGACGGCATCGGCGACTACGTCACTTTGCGAGCCGATCCCGACGTCCATCCTGGAGAAATCTCCATCTCCGACATTAGCGGCGTGGGCAGCTGTTCCAAGAAACTCAGCAAAAACCCTCTGTGGAATTGTGCCGGAATCGCCGCCATTTCCGTCATGAAGATGCTCAACATCCGATCGGTGGGCCTCTCTCTTTCCCTCGAGAAAGGTTTGCCTTTGGGAAGCGGCCTCGGATCGAGCGCCGCCAGTGCCGCTGCGGCAGCAGTCGCGGTGAATGAGATTTTTGGTGGCCCATTGTCTGTGTCAGATCTCGTCCTTGCCGGACTCGAATCGGAGTCCAAGGTCTCCGGTTACCATGCCGATAATGTGGCACCTTCGCTCATGGGGGGTTTCGTGCTGATTCGAAGCTATGATCCTTTGGACATGATTCAATTAAAGTTTCCACCTGAAAAGGAATTGTTCTTTGTGTTGGTAACTCCAGAATTCGAAGCTCCGACGAAGAAAATGAGAGCAGTGTTGCCATCAGAGATTACAATGGCTGATCATGGTTGGAATAGTACACAGGCTGCAGCATTGGTGGTTTCAATTGTATTGGGGGACTCGAGAGGTTTGGGGAAAGCATTATCCTCTGATAAGATTGTGGAGCCAAGAAGGGCGCCTCTGATTCCAGGTTTTGTAGGGGTGAAGAAGGCAGCGATTGAGGCGGGGGCATATGGGTGCACAATAAGCGGTGCTGGGCCCACTGCGGTGGCCATAATTGATGATGAGGAGAGGGGGAGGGAGATTGGGGAGAGAATGGTGGAAGCATTTATGAAGGATGGGAATCTCAAGGCCTCAGCAATGGTTCAGAGGCTCGACCGTGTTGGTGCTCGGCTTGTTAGTAGCATTTCTAGGTGAAGGGTATGCTTTAATTTTTGGTGCAACGTTGATTGCTATCATTTTGGCTTCTGCTGACATTTTAGAGTTTAAATGCTCTCCTCTTTGAGTTAATGGTTAACATCTTGCATTTCTTGATCTCTTCATGAATTATGGCAAAAATTCTAGTATAGTATGTGTGCTGCTGATGCTTTCTTTATTTTATTTTATTATTATTATATTTTATGTTTAATGGATTATATTTATTGTTCTTTTACTTGATTGCTTTGTTATTCTTCCATAAAATAGTAAGTAACATGGTGCACTTGTGTTAAAATACAAATGATTGTTTCATAATGGATTATATTTTGTTTTTCTTTTATTCTGTTGTGGCGCATTAATATTCAAATATGAAAATGAAACAATCATTTGTATTTTAACACAAATGCGCCATGTTACTTACTATTTTATGGAAGAGATTGGCACAACACACAGAAAGTATGATTCATAATCTAATAATCCCGATTGAGAATTTCCACTCAACTGTAATATAGCTGCAGACTTAATAAATGACGAGCATATGGAGTCAGATTTGATAGGGGGATAATTATGGTATAGCACATGCATGCCAGATACTTAGATGAACAAATTGATTTCTGAATTTATGGTGGTTTTTTTTTTTATTTTTTTTATAAGTAATAGATGGTATCTTTTAAACTTGAGATACCTAGATATAGTCGAAGTTCGATCGTGGAATATGGACGGGATTCAAAAGCTGATGTACTAGATTCATAATGTTCCGACATGTCGGGATTGGAACATACTCTCTATATTCTGTTAGATACCGATTCATTCTTATCTTCTGAGTGCTCATTCTATACTGTGACGGGTGGCTCTGCATTTCAATTTTGCTGATGTTCTTTCTTTTAATATTCTGCAAGTTCTTTATTTTACATTGGGGTAGTTATGTTGATTGAGATGCTTTTGTTGAGTAATTAACCTCATCTCTTTATGGCAATTACTTGTTTTAGAGTTGATAACAAATTAGAGAGGTCCATTACTGATTGGAAAGCTATAAATTATCATGAACTGAAAGCTATATTGCTATCTATTTTTATTTATTAGGTGAGAATTAATTCTGATGGAAGCTTGAAAAATCTAACCTTCCAAAAAGAAAAGGTTGAAAATTTAAACAGTGTATAGTGCTTGCTAGGGTTAGGGTTCATACTTCATATTTAATCCCTAACGGCAGCCTTGCGTGCGTATAGGGCGATGGGACTTACAGAGAGATGAGATATTTGTGCTTGTGTGGCGAACATGTGTGAATTAGTGGTTTGAATGTTGAATGAAGGGGTTATGGGGCTGGAGTTTGGCTGTTTGGCTGTTTAAGAGTGCCTTGGAGATGAATGCAGCTCCCTATATCACTTCCAATACCCCATTGTACTCTGCTAGAATTTCCTCTATTTCTAGTGGTATTCCTGGGTGAGTTGATACATTTTTAATCTGTTAAAGAGTTCCTAAAACTTATAAAAAAATAATAATATCAAGCTCGTTGTTAACCACAAAACCTGAGGAGACCAAAAAAAGCACTCTACTTTACTTCTTTGAAGATGATTGACGGTGAACATGTTTTTTTTTTTTACCAAGCTTGAGTCTGTCACACAAGTTCGTTGTTAACCACAAAACTTGAGGAGACCAAAAAAAGAAAAGAAAAAAAAAAGCACTCTACTTTTCTTACTTTTCAAAGGAAATGATGGTTAACCACAAAACTTGAGGAGACCTAAAAAAAAAATAAAAATAAAGCACTCTATTTTTCTTACTTTTCAAAGGAAATGACAAGAAGGGCCCAAAACTCTTTAATGCATCATTCTTTATTTTTATAATATCATAATTATCTTTTTTTCACTATTAACTTTTATTTTTATTTTACCTTTTATACTTCTTCCTCTAGTAGCTTTTTTTTTTTTTTCTTTTTTTCCCCCCTTCTGTTTTTTACCTGAGAAAATTTATTCAAAGCATAATATATAATTTTCCAAACTTTTTAATGAATGACTGAAGTAAGAATTTGCTAGTGGCTGTTCTTAAACAGATGTCTTTGATCTGAACCTTCCTTGCTGAAAAGCTTTGGTCTTAGAAAAGCAATGAAATGGAATTCTGAAACCAAGTCTCCATACTTTCCTGATTTCCACTGTGGGTGAAGACCTCAATCCTTTCAGGCGTGGTGGTTCTTCCCAAGTGGAAAGGGCCGGGCATTTAGTTGCCCCCATCCTATGATCTTGAGTTGGACTTCCCTTTCTCTCTAACTATTAACTCCTTTCTCTCTAACTATTAACTCCTCTAATCCATTGTCAAAAAAAAAAAAAAAAAAATTAGAAAAAATACATAGTGGAATGGGCCAGGCACTTTAGTTGCCCCTACCATATGATCTTGAGTTCGACTCCCCCTCCCCTCTAACTACTAACCTTTATAACCCATTGTCGGATAAAGAAAAAAAGACATCAATTCTTTCAAGCTGTATCCATAAGTTAATTCCATTACATTTAGGGCATGTTTGGTATGCGAATGGAACGAGGCACAAATGGAATGAGAATGATGTAAGAATGGAATGATAATTCTTATTCCACTATTTGGCTGCAAACAGAGAATGATGCAATAGTGGAATGACTAGGGGTAGCAAATTACAACGAGTTAAAAGGATTTGGATTTGATATAAACGATTTGGGTCATAAAAGGGTCGACACGGTAAACCCGTTTACTTAACTGTGTCGAGTTAGGGTTGAGTGGTTCAACTCGTGTAAACCGTTTATGACCTATTTAACTTAACATGTAATAATCGTGAATATGACATATGTAATATGTTACATGTTTAAACCAAATTATTATGAATAGTTAAGTCATTTCAACATAAACTTTGTCTATGCTTTATAATTTTTCTTTTTATTTTGAATATTTGGGTTAATTATGACAATTGTTTCTATGATTTAGTATTTGATTAAATATTAAATGTCTCGTTTTGATAAACAGGTCATTAAATGGGTTAACACGTTTATTTATTTAATAAATGGGTTGAGTTAGTGTTGAGATTCTTGACACGATTATTAAATGGGTTGGGTTTAGGCTTACCTATTTAGTATAATACTCTTACATGGACACGACTCACGAACACGAATTGCCACCCCCAAGAATGACCACTCCCATTCCCCTATTTGGTCAGACCAATTAATAAGATGAAATGAAATAACTTTTAAATTAGTTTTTACAAAATACCATTACTTATAATATATCAATTATATTAACGAAATGACATATTTTATTATTTTAAAATGAAATAAAATATAACTAGCTTATACCAACTAATGCATTTTTGTAAACTCTATGAAAATTATAATTACCTTACAAAATGTAAGAAAAATGTACAAAATCTTAATGAGTTGAAGAAAATCTATTAAAAATTTAAAAAAAGACTAACAATTTGTTGTGAACCGAGACCTCACAAATACTTGCTTTTATTTATTGTAAACCCATCGTATTAGAGCCCTAAAAATAATTACATTTTTGCAGAAGAATTCACTTGGGTGTTAACTGTGCTTTAGTCCAAAATCCGGTATAGGGAAGACGTATTTTTCCTGATCCAAAAGCATATATGCATTCATACTTAGTAAAAAATGTTTACTATCAAAAATGCCTGTGGCTTTTTCAATCAGCAATTTTTCCAAGTCAATGAATTTAATTTTAAGTAACTGAGCGTACATAATTTACAGGTTGAAGACTCATTTGGGCATATAGATCTCATCGGTATCTTTGTCTGCCTGTCAGACAACTAGAAAAAGGGTAAGAGCAGAGAAGATGCTCTAAGAAACATATAGAAATGTTTTTCAATGTACGAATTCTAGAAATAGAGAGAGGAGAAGTATCAATTGTAAGCACATACATGTTGCGTAACATTGTGAACTTGGCACCTCAATTGAGATGGGAGATCTGGATAGTTGGGGATTAATTTGTGAGGTTGCAGTTCTACTTGCTGCAGAGAAAGAGAGAGAGAGCAACCTTGTCGGTAGATTTGTCTAAAATGAATCTAAAAAGATTTTTGGTACCCCGGATAGAGAGACCTTGGTGGTAGATTTGCTTACAACGAAGCCAAAGGGTATTTTTTTGTCTTTGATTTATTTTATTTTATTATTAGTGGAAATGGAATAGTCTTGTCTTTGATTTATTTTATTTTATTATTAGTGGAAATGGAATAGTCATTTTACTTCTTAAGAAGAGGAATGAACATTCCACATTTTTGATGGATTGGTATTCCCTGAGAATACCTTGGAATAACCATTTCACTTTTAATGTGACATACCAAACAAGAGAATGAAAACAAAAATATTCCATTCCAACTTCATTTGATTTCATTCACTCACACCAAATATGGCCTTAAACTTATGTTATATAAATTCATTGTCACATTGTGAAGTTAGGATTAAGAGGAGGCAAAAACATAATTCCATATTTAAAAGGATAGTTGTGATATTTGAATAATAATAATTATTTATTTATAAAGTTAATGTTATAAATATCTTTTAAGATTGAAATGCAGATGTAGAATAGTGGAGTAGGAATATTGCCTTTCAAATAAAAATTAAAACTGTTCTTTTGGGAATAATTACCGTCAATCAAATGAACTCGCCGACATTATAAGAACTTCATTTTCTTTACGAAAAGATCGAATCTCCAATATATAATTGGTGTGTTTGGTTGTACTTTTAAGAGAATAATAATAATAATAATTATTATTATTATTATTTTGGGAAGAATAAGAAACAAATGAGGCAAATGGTTCTGGTCCTAAAACACACACATATGTGTACGAAATTAGGGTGGATAGGGGGAGAGTGAGCCAGCCGAGTCAAAGGATATTCGGTTGACGTGGTCAACTTGCCAGCCTTAGTTTCTCTCTTCCTTCTTCGTCCTTTCGGCTGCTGCTGATATCAGTGTCATTTGGTTGGATGGCATTTCCTCCAATCCCTCCTCTAAAAAACAAGAATCCGTTGTTCAAATAAATTAAATTATAATGAATATACGGAGTATATGACTTTGTATAATTACTTTTAATTTTTTCCTCGTATAATAAAAACATCCAATTATCAAATCTACAAAAATTTCATATATATAAATATTTAAATCACATACATTGTATCAAGACTCATCTCACTGTTTCTTTATAAAATAAAACTATTTTTAATAATATCCAATTTATCTCATTCTACCATGCGTCCACGTGGAGATTCTTTTTTATCAATCCACTACTAATATTTTCGTTACTAAAAAATGAGAGTGTCAGTCATTGGTTAAATAATATTAAAAAATAAAAAATAAAGATCTGTAATAGGGAAAAGTAAAGCTGGTCAGCACTGTCCTCTTGAGATGTTTCTCGGCAAACACGGGCTAAAAAAAGAAGAAAACGCAGAGCACTTTGACAAACGCTTTTCATCAATCAGTCTATCTATCTATCATCCTCGCACACTCGAACATGATCATCGATCAAGCACCTTTTTCTTGACTTTCTCTCTCTATTCATCTTTGCTGGTACTAATTCTCTCTCTCTCTCCAACTATATATTTATATGTATGTGTATACAACACACATAATTACACTAAATCTTGTTTCAGATTTTCTAATGATGATATATGCTTTAATCATTCAGTAATTAGTACGATCTGATACGAGATTCTTTCATTATTCAGCTAGATTTGTTCTTTTTCTTTGCATATATATATGTATGTATATATATTGATGAGCTTGAGATCTGAATTTGGGGTTTATTGTGTGAAGCTTTCTGGTAGATAATTGATGAGAGAGAACATTTGATGAGGAACAATTGAAAGAGGGGATTTTTTTTCGTTTCATGGGCAACACATGCCGTGGATCTTTCGGAGGAAAAGATTTACAGGGCTACAATCAGCCCCAAGAACAGTTCATTTCCAAGCGCAATACTTCTTCTAGGAATTCTAAACATTCTAATCACTCATCTACCACCTCATCTACGACCTTCGATTCTCAACAAATAGTTTCTCAAGAATTCTCCAAGGATAACAACAACCCTAAGAAGGACAACAATTATTCCCCTGTTAATCCACCAAAAGAGACCATCATGAGCCGTAGGAGTGAAAACCCTTATTATGTATTGGGTCACAAGACCCCTAACATTCGTGATCTGTATACATTGGGTCGTAAATTAGGGCAAGGACAATTTGGCACTACTCATTTGTGCACTGAGAATTCTACGGGTATTGATTACGCTTGTAAATCTATTTCCAAGAGGAAGTTGATTTCGAAGGAAGATGTGGAGGATGTTAGGAGGGAGATTCAGATAATGCACCATTTGGCGGGTCACAAGAATATTGTGACGATTAAGGGTGCCTATGAGGACACTTTGTATGTTCACATTGTGATGGAACTTTGTGCCGGGGGTGAATTGTTTGACCGGATTATTCATAGGGGGCATTACAGCGAGAGAAAGGCAGCTGAATTGACCAAGATTATTGTAGGAGTTGTTGAGGCGTGCCATTCTCTTGGGGTTATGCATAGAGATCTAAAGCCTGAGAATTTCTTGCTGGTTAACAAGGATGATGATTTCTCCCTCAAAGCCATTGATTTTGGATTGTCAGTTTTCTTCAAGCCAGGTAAAAGAGAAAAAAGACTACTTCTTTACTTTTTTTCCATGGTATTTCCATGATTAGGAGCATATTAGTGAATTAAAGAACAAACTTTTTTGCTATGTATTTTTTAAAAAAATTCTATGTTCTTGGATCTATAATGTCCATTATTTTTATTTAAAGGATTTCTTGGGGTTTTTTTTTTCGTGAATACCTTTATATGGCTAACAACAGAGCCTACACTTTATGTCATATGAAGAGTCGAAAATTCTCCTAAGGTCTTGTTGCTTATGGTATTATGATCCCATATGATGTACAACCAAAATTTTCTGGTTTTGAGTTGCAAGGCTTGTTTAATGTAGTTGCAAGGCTTGCTATTTCAGGTCAGGTTTTCACTGATGTGGTTGGAAGCCCATATTATGTTGCTCCTGAGGTGCTTTTGAAGCATTATGGGCCAGAAGCAGATGTGTGGACAGCGGGGGTCATACTCTACATATTGCTAAGTGGTGTGCCACCCTTTTGGGCCGGTATGTGTGTTCTCTGATATTAGATTATTAGCGTAGCACAAGTTTTCAATTTTTGGATCCAGTGTACTGAAATTTCTTTCTATGTGTTGTTCAGAAACACAACAGGGGATATTTGATGCTGTTTTGAAGGGTCACATTGATTTCGATTCAGACCCCTGGCCCCTAATATCTGACAGTGCAAAAGATTTAATTCGGAATATGTTACGCTCTCGACCTTCAGAACGGTTTACTGCTCATGAAGTTTTAAGTATGTTAATTTTTCTCGGATTTACCTTATTAGCCAATATTTTTGACCATTTAAGCTGGACAGACGTGGAAGTGATTTTAGCTTTCTTGACTGTTTAGACACCATTGCTTAGTCACTCCTCAATACGTTGTTTGGCCAATCTTTTTGACCATTTAAGCTGGACAGACGTGGAAGCGATTTTAGTTTTCTTGACTGTTTAGACACCATTGCTTAGTCACTCCTCAATACATTGTCTAAGATTTTGTTCTACCACAAATGAATACTAGGTTGTAGTATGATCATGCGAAGGGCTATGCAATTCCCATAATGTTGAGACCCAGAATTTACCTCATTGGCGCAATAGGTTTTCAGATTCATTAAAAATGTGGTCAATGCTTTAAGCCTTTAATTAGAATCATACTGCATCATAATCAAGTCATACACATTATATCAACCACGGGACATATTAAGAATGAGGAAATGTAAAAGCAGAAATGAATTATAATCATTTATGAATTTCTGCTTAAATGATACATTGTAATGAAATTATGTGCGTGATCTCTAGCAAAGGCTGCAAATAGCTCATAAATCATTATGTCAGTAGCACTTTCAGGTGTTGAAGTTGGTTAAGTAGTAAATTTTTATCTTTCCAAATATTTTTTTCAGTTCAAGGACATTGAGGGCCTGGATATATTTTTCCTTAAGTAGGAGGATTTACCTGTTTATAGAAATGGTTTCTCTAATTAGCTTTCACTTTTATTTGTGTTTTAACCAAAATAATGTTATAACCGAGCGGTATATTTCTCATCACAATATTATAGGTCATCCTTGGATTTGTGAAAATGGAGTTGCTCCTGACAGATCACTGGATCCAGCTGTACTTTCTCGTCTCAAACAGTTTTCTGCAATGAACAAGTTAAAGAAGATGGCTTTACGGGTATGCTTATATAAATTTAGAGTTACAAATTGTATGATAAGCTGGATTATCTGTAAATGGTTGATGTTACCACTAGCTATCTTACTAGGTTGGCGATTTATATACAAGACATTTTTAAAGGATTTTTTGTCGCATGAGTTGGACAAAATAATCTGTTCTGTCCTAGCTTACACTGCAAAAAGTGGCCATCTTGGACAGTTTATCACCTGATTTAGAGAAACTTTATAGGCTATATATTTGTTCACTCCGACATTTTAGTCTGACTTTATATAAGATGTTTTCTGTCATTTTCATAATTGCTTCATATATACCTATATACACACGAATATTTATGCTATGGTTTCCCCCTTGCTCCTATGTTTGTTGTTTGGATTATGAACCATTGAGTAGATTTCTGAGGCTATTCACCATATTTGCTGTTTGGCATTTTACTTGAAAAGCAATTGATGCATCAATTCGCAACATGTTTCTTCTTTGAGACAAAAAGTTGGAACTCTGCATGACAAGAAGTTTTGCCACTGCCTGGTTTGTGCATCAGGTAATAGCTGAAAGCCTCTCAGAGGAAGAGATTGCTGGTTTGAAAGAGATGTTTCAGGCAATGGATACTGACAACAGCGGTGCAATCACATTTGATGAACTTAAAGCTGGTTTGAGAAGATATGGTTCTACATTAAAGGATACAGAGATACGTGACCTTATGGAAGCGGTAAGACTTCTATTTCTGTTTTTTTTCTCGCCCCCATTTTGTTTTTTTGCTGGTGTTTGCCTTTTTTTTTTTCTCCTGATAAGTTGCTTTAGTTTGGGTTTCTTTTTCTTTCTTGTTTTTATTTAGTTGATTATTTTTTAAATATTTAGATGAAATCAGGATTCCTGAGCTAACACTTGCATCTAGGACAATTGGCAACCATGTCAGTGTATTGTTTTCTTGAGTAAAACTTGAGGTTATATTGGTGGGAAATCTGGTGGTGTTACATTAGAATTTAGAAATTAGGCTCTGCTTGGTGCCTTTATCAAAGTAAATCTTGGGAATGGTATTATATTTACTTTTGGAAATCTTCCATTTAATTTGTGTTTGCTGTGAATTTTGGGTTGATAGTTTTGGGTTTAGGAAATTTTATAACAATCACAATGATTAGCAGTGTGGTTAGCAGAACAGTACAACAGCATGAGCATACTGCTGTTCCTGAATTTTCTTTCTTTCCTTCTTTTTTTTTTTCATCCCCTTTTTATAGTGTTAGTAGGAGTCTTATGACATTAACATTGTGACACCTTATCCACTTTGGAGGAGTTCCCTCTTTGGAAGGCATGAAGAGATGTGTTATGCTGACACTTGCACGTGCCTGTCAGCCTTCATGAAATCTAGCATAAACTGAAGATATATATATATATATATATTCAGATGGTACTTACCAAAAAAAAAAAATTCTGATGGCTGTTTATGTTAAGGATTTCTTACATTGAACAGAAATTTAGTCACTGATGTAATTGGTAAATTTCATACTGATTAGGTGACGCTTTTCTGATTTATGACTCTTGACAATAGGGAGCTATATATAGGTCACCTGTGTGTATATATATATATATATATTTTTTTTTTCCTAGTTGGTAATCACACACACTTGTCTCTTTTGAGACTTGAACCACTGACCTCCCTTTGGGAAGTAAGAGGCTGATACGCTAGGCCACTGGCCCATTGGTAGGTCACCTGTAGATGGGATCTGTTCAAGTGCATATGCCTTGGTTCCATCATAATCAAGACCCACTTTCTTCCTCATATTGTTGTAGGAAACCCAGGACACATATATTTAAATGTGATATAGCAAATGAAGGATTACCTTTCACATTTTTCTGTAAATTGCTGCTGAATTTTAGATATGAAGACGACTTTGATCTACGAGGTATTGTGCTTATAGTATCTCTTTGAAGTGTTATATCGCTTCGGGTTGCCGAGTGATGATAGTTGTTTTCAGGCTGATGTGGACAACAGTGGGACCATTGACTATGGTGAATTCATAGCCGCAACTATTCATCTTAACAAACTAGAACGTGAAGAACATCTCATGGCAGCATTTCAATATTTTGACAAGGATGGAAGCGGTTATATAACAGTTGATGAGCTCCAGCAAGCTTGGGCAGAACATAACATGACTGATGTTTTCCTTGAAGATATCATCAAAGAAGTTGATCAAGATAATGTAAGTTATCATTACTTTATCATCAAAGAAGTTGATCAAGATAATGTAAGTTATCATTACTTTGGGCGGAAATACATTATTCTCTTTTCTAATAGAAGAATAGGCGACAGTTTACTTATTTTATGATTACTTACAGAAAACACTGGTCTTCTGTCATAATTCTTTGATGTTCATCATGTCTGGTCAAACTAAAGTTGAACTGCGTAATATTTTGTTTATGACCCTTTGATGCACTGTTCCTTGATATGTCAAAGTGACCTTTAATGGGGCACATTGTATATTTCAAACTCGTCATTATCTGAAGGAAATCAAGAACTGACTTTTTTTATCCCTCTCCAATACTTCAAACACCATTTTGTAGCACGAAGATGCATTGTAATTCTCTCTTCAAAACGAAAGTAACATCTCTTTCACAATCACATGCACTTTTCAGAATGATGTCTTATCAAAGTATTAGATGAGTTTTGAGAGAAGCTTTCAATGTGCATTATGTGCCCCAGGAGTGGCAATAATTAACACCAAAATGGATATGTTTGGTGGAATTTCGTATCTTATTCGGAATTTAGCATGGCAGTACAACATATATAATTGTAGAATTTGGAGAAATAGATTTACATTTCAAAACTGGTTCTCACCTCAGCTGATTTTTGCTATTTTCGTTTTGTTTTTTCTAAGGTTGATTAGTGTCAACATTCTAATGGATTTTGTATTTCCAGGATGGAAGAATTGATTATGGGGAATTTGTCGCCATGATGCAAGGCAATAATGCAGGAATTGGAAGACGGACTATGCGGAACAGTCTGAATATAAGCATGCGAGATGCACCAGGAGCTAAATAGGCACATCATGTACAGGTACTCTTCCAAATATTTATTTATTTTTTATCAGATAAACTATACAATTCATTTGCTGTTCCTTTGTATGTGTGAAGGATTATGAAAGTTGGTAGTACTCTTCAATTACTGGAATGATGTCAGGGAAGCATTTATGATCTATCTGTGTAATTGCATACTTGATTTGATGTTGAAGACATATTGAAAAAATACAAGACTTAACATGCCTGCCTTTTTTAAAGAAATAGCACCTGACATTTAATAGTAGCAGTTGGCAAATTGAATGGTCGACTGATTCGTCATTCCTTTCGTATGAGTGGAGGGAATTACATTAGTCAATATACCATGTTGAGGTGGCGGTACATAATAAAGGAGGGTGGTAAAGGATGTTTCCACTGCAAGATGGATGTATGGCACATACCTTAACACACCATTGTTATATAATGCCAACATTTCGTTCATATTTACACATTAAGTTTGAAGCCGAAGTAATATTGATATGGATAAATTTATCGCTGGAATTCCTAATCTTTCATGACAGTGGGCCTTATCTAGGACCTTTTTGAGATACAGTAGATCCCATCTGCAACACCCAGTGAATTTATTCATCAAGTTTTGTGATTTGCAAAATTTATTTTATCATATGGGAAACAGTCTTATTCTCTGTCTAGAGTTTGATCCTCAAGTTTTGTGATTTCAATTGTAATTTCATATTCTGACTCAGAAAATTTGCAGGTTAAACAGCAAAGCTAGAAAGGAAGTCCAATGATTATTAAGCTTGAAGGGTACAATTTCCGATCCATCCTCGATTTATCTCCTTGTACAACATGTCACGCAAAATTTGGATTACCGAAGGTTAATTTGGCAGCATTTATAGGTCCTGCTTTAGTGTTTTTGCTGCATAACTCAATTGTGTTGTAAGCTTTCAAAACTAAAGTGCGAGTGTTTACAGCCATTCAAGTTGCTAAGTTTTTGTTTTTTGTTTTTTATTTATTTATTTATTCTGCGGTATTCTTTACTTGGGACTTTGTGCTTATTTTTAAGGAAGAAGAAAGTTAATCTTCAATATTTTCCCACATCAGAATTTGCAAATGAGAGTTTTATCTGCACAAGTCGAACACAATTTGTGATCATTTTTTTTTTTTTTTTTTTTTTTCAACGCTGCTCGTTGCCATGTAAGTGTCGAATTCAACATCTTTAATGTATTTATAAATTATTAGCAAGAAATGGTTTCTACTCAAGTTTTTTTTTGTTTTTAAATCACATAACAAGTGAGAGGATAGAGGTATAGAAAATGGAGATTAAAACCCATATTCGTTAAGATTACACTGGAAATCACCTTCCTTTGTATAGTCAATCTCTACCTAAATAAAAATAAAAATGATACGTATTATGTACTTCTTTCAAACTTTTTATGTTTGTATAATGGTGGTAATAAATTTCAAATATACTCTTCTATGGGTTTTACAACTTTAATTGTTTTTATAATTTCAAGGCAATAAGAGTAAATTAGAATTTTATTTTAAAAGGTGCATTAGATTTTGAACTGTGACATGCCAACAATAAAAAAAGGACAATTATTTTGTAACAATCAAAAATAAAAAGCCAAACACTATTTTTGGGATTATAAACAATAATTGACGCACCCCAACACAATTTATATTAATTAATGAATTGAATAATTGGACTGCATCTGCTAACATCAGTGTGTACAAATAAAAACAAGACATAACAAATTACAAGTTGAACTACCAAGTTCTCTTACAATAATTACATCTTATAAAAAAGATTTTCTGTTGTTCCTTTCCTCCTATTTACACCCAAAACCCTAGACATGGTAGTGGCAACCAAACCTTATACCTGAAAAACATAGATATGGAAAGAGTGAGCTTAAAGCCCAGTGAATGCAATATTACTACACCAGAGCAATATAAACAAATATTATCTGATAACTTAAATTAAACTTCATTAATATATAACTTCCAGCTTTACATGCATTAAAATATAGTACTCTCCTTCTAGGCCAGAATATGGATCTTATATGATATAATACTTTCATTCCAGGCGAGAGTATGAATCTTATATGATATAGTACTCTCTTTCTTGGTCAGAGTATGAACCTCATATACTATTTTTTTGGCCAGAGTATGGACTTTGTATAATATAGTACTCTCCTCCCAGGCCAGAGTATGGACTTTATATAATATAGTACTTTCCTTCTACGGATCTTATATAATATAGTCAAATTATATAAGCATCTTCATTTCATATAGGAAAATGATAAGGAGGCCGAACTGCAAACCCTGAAAAAACGACCGAATCTTTCGTGGCAAAGCCACGTCAGATTCTATAAAACCTCGTCGCCCACCGGAGAATTACGTTGTTCGCCGGCCGTTACTGCTAAACTCATAACCGACAGGCTCCATCTGAGCCGCCGCAGCCCAGCCCGTCACCAGCTCATAGCCGTCACCGCCGCTGCACCAAACAACGTCCATCACAGTCGATAGTATCCGAGCACTACCGCCGTCACCATCGATCTCATCTGCCTAGCCGAAGCCGATCTCTGCCATCACCGTCGCTGCTCTAGCCACAGCCGCAGATCTCGACTTCTTGCCGCTGCCGAGTTGAGCAAACAACATAGATTAGATCTCTGCCGTCGCGACTCAATGTCGAAGCCGATCTCTGCCACCACCGATCTGATATGCTGTAACACCAGTGAGTTTTTTATAATTGAATATTATAAATATAGATTTATATATGGTGAAGTGGTTTAACCGATTTATTTGGTACTTTAGGTTAATGGAGAGTTAAATATATAGGTACGTGGATTTACCATAGGTACGTGATGAGAAGACGAGTAGTTGCGGATTTAATTTTTAAATGTCGATTAGGATATGCGATACGTGTTGCATCATGCTACGACTAAGGGAAGTTCCCTATTCCCCTAACCAAAAGATGTTATTTAGATTTAAAACCAGATTTAGTTGGGAATGGAAAAGTGTTTTTCTGAAGTACAAATGATAATTGTAGAGCCAAATTTATAAGGTTTTATGGTCAGACAAAATTACGAGGAAGATTTAAAGAGCAAAATTGGAAGAGTGATTATGCTGGATCATGGAACTATCATCACGTGAATAAGGCAAGTTTAATCTTACCTTCTATATATATATGATTGAGTACAGTGCATTTAGTGATTTTGTATTCAAATCAAGTATTATTGAGAGTAATTAACTATTGGGTGATTACGTATTTTTATGATTATTATCTGAATGTTTAGAATCATTTTATTACGTTAATGAATAAGCTTGATCTATTTTTGGTGTTGATGCATATTATCAATAGGTGGGTGTATTGGTTATGTTGTTAAATTAATTTGAGATTTTTTAGATACCAGAAATTGAGGCTCGAACTAGATTTTAAAGAGAATTGGAATCGCAATTGAAATGATCTATTTAGTATTGTTCGTAAGTGGACATGTGTATTGATTCAGTTTTGTGGTTGCACGAGCTCATCTCATTCTATAGAGAATTACCATTTGGGTTGTATCCATACAAGTGTGGAATATATTTTTACCTATTTTGGGAATCATGTGTCAGAGTTGATGGGTTCTCCACATAATTTGTTGAAAAGGTTGGATGCGTTCCTTACCAACATGTTTATATTTGGATTCGTTCCATAGTATGTATTTGGATTTTTTTCCTTACTATGCGGTGGCGTGTGACTTTTATTTTGAGGACTTAATGTAACTTCATGATGATTTGAGTACTGTATTTTGGAATGATTTTTAGTTCACACCCATTTTGAGTATTGTTGTCAAATGTATTTGTATTCGAATTTTGGAGCGTGATGGATTGGTATCAGAGCTAGTACCCAGCCGGAAGAATAGTAATAGTGACGATGTAGACGGTGTGTGTGGGAGAGTGACGGGTACCGACGAGCTACCATATGTAAACGGGTGTGAGTGGGTGGATGAGGTTTACCGGTGAGCTACCACAACGGGTTACAGCGTAAGTGGGCGGGTGAAGTGCACTGACGAGCTACTACATGTAGATGGGTGTGCGAATACGGGTGATACGCATTGACAGGCTACCACAACGGCTTATAGGTGCGTGGGGGGGGTAACAAGCACTAACGAGCTACCACACTAAGAAACACGTTGCGCTTTCCCACACCGCCTGGGAGAAATGGTGATTATATGTAAACTAGCAGAATTATATATTTCGAGGTTAAAATTTCCTAAAAGGGTGGAGAATGTGACAACCCAGATTTTATTTAGGCTTGATTAATTATATTGGAGACTCTATTAAAGTAATAAGAGGAATTTAGACTTTATAGTTACTAATGTTAACGTGATCATAGTGCGTAAAGGAAGCGTAGTATATGATGTTATGGGTGTAAAGCATGATGTCCTAAGCACTCACTTGGAGGTAGTTATGATATTTTAGAATATCAGACAAGTTTATGAATTTATAGAGTTTTATAGAATTTTATATAACATTAAATAATCTTGTATTGCCTTGTGAATATTTTGCATAGTGGATTAAACTTCTAGAGCTAGAGTTAATGTAGTCTATTAGATTGATGTTTGTTATCCATTTGGGAAGAATATATTATATTATATATAGGTTTACTCAATGTGTTTTGACTGGAGACGAGATGTTGGTTGTGATATTACATTCTACTAATTTCGAGAACGAAATTTGTTTAAGGAGGGTAGAATGTAACACCAGTGAGTTTTTTAGAATTGAATATTATAAATATAGATTTATATATGGTGAAGTGGTTTAACCGATTTATTTGGTACTTTAGGTTAATGGAGAGTTAAATATATAGGTATGTGGTTTTACCATAGGTACGTGATGGTAAGACGAGTAGTTACGGATTTAAGTTTTAAATGTCGATTAGGATATGTGATACATGTTGCATCATGCTACGACTAAGGGAGGTTTCCTATTCTTCTAACCAAAAGATATTATGTAGATTTAAAACCAGATTTAGATGGGAATGGAAAAGTGTTTTTCTGAAATATAAATGATAATTGTAGAGACGAATTTATAAGGTTTTATGGTCAGACAGAATTACGAGGAAGATTTAAAGAGCAAAATTGGAAAAGTGATTATGCTGGATCATGGAACTATCATCATGTGAATAAGACAAGTTTAATCTTACCTTCTTCTATATATATATGATTGAGTACAATGCATTTAGTGATTTTATATTCAAATCAAGTATTATTGAGAGTAATTAACTATTGGGTGATTACGTATTTTTATGATTATTATCTGATTGTTTAGAATCATTTTATTACGTTAATGAATAAGCTTGATCTATTTTTGGTGTTGATACATATTATCAATAGGTGGGTGTATTAGTTATGTTGTTAAATCAATTTGAGATTTTTTAGATACCAGAAATTGAGGCCTTTTGGGGTAAATCCCAAGAGCAAAACCGTGCGGGTTCAGGCCCAAAGCGGACAATATCATACTATGCGGTGGAGTGGGTCGTTACATATGCCACCTCAGTTTCCCTCAACCAAATCCCATCATCCCCCCCTGCAAATCCCAACCTCTCTCCTCCTCCCTTCACCTCCTCTTCTTCACCTTGGCAAAAGTTTCATCATTCATTATCTTGGATGTAGTTGGAGTGAGTGGCATATGGAGTGAAATAAAATCTGCAGTGGAGACGGCCTCATCAAAGGAGACCAAATCAACACCAACAACCCCTGTTTGTGCTCGCCACCAAACACCCTTCTGTGGTCGCCATCGAAACAGAGTATTCTCTGCCGTCGAGCAACAGAGGACCAACAATACTCACCGGATTTGTCTTGGCCGAACTTAGATCACAGAGGACCGACAATACCCACCGTCGGCCGCCGTTCTTATCCAAATCCGAAGCCGCAGGCTCCGGCGTCCTCCCTTCTTTTCTTATTTTTTATTTCTTTTAACTGGGGGGGGGGTGTGATACCCCTCGGATCCGAGACACGGGTTGATCAGGCCCAGGCCCAAACCCGAGGGAATATCAAACAATTAAAGTATTCTAAAACGAATACAGATGACAAAATGAAATAATAAAGATG